CTATTACCTTCTTACAAAAACTTTACCAATCTATTAAACTTTGATATCACCCACATTGTAGTAACGTTAAAGTCACTGATTTTTAACATTAGACTTAGAAGTTGTTTTCCTTCATTTCTAAGCACTCATTGTGTTTTTGTTTTTTAATTTTTGGATTTGTAGCTGGAAGGTGAAATAACTTATGACAATCTCAACAACTGGATCAGCAAAGACTCAATGGCAGAAGATGATGTTGAGGTGTACATCCCTCAGTTCAAATTAGAAGAACACTATGAACTCAAACCCATTCTGAGAAGCATGGGCATGAATGATGCCTTCGTCAAGGGCCAGGCCAATTTCTTAGGAATGTCAGAAGGAGATGAACTGTTTCTGTCTGAAGTATTTCATCAAGCCACTGTGGATGTCAATGAGGAGGGCACTGAAGCAACTTCTGGAACCGGGGCTATCATATCAGGGAGAACTGGCCATGGAGGCCCACAATTTGTGGCCGATCATCCTTTCCTCTTCTTTATAATGCACAAAACAACTAAGACCATTCTCTTTTTTGGCAGATTCGTCTCACCCTAAAGTTGGAAGTTTCTGTTTCTGTACAGAATTTTGTAGCATGAGGTATAAGCCTCAGAATTGCTATAAGTACCAAAAATGTAGGGACTTTTTCTATGTATTTCTGTGTTTCTGAACAATTTTCTACTGCACACTAAATGTAAATACAGAAATAACCAGACAACTGTCAAACATAACATTGCAACCCTATTAATTGGTTTCCTAAAATGGGATGATGTCGCATTTAGTTCTCCCTTATTCTTTGTTTATTTTATAGCATTAAGTTTTATTGCATTATTTATTATTTTATATAATTTTATTATTGTTAACTGTCCAATGTAGCTGATACAGTCACAGAAAACAGGTGATCGGTTATGTTTCTTTCTAAGGAAGTGCATTTATTTGTTTATGAGGAAAGATGAGTAGGTGTCTCTCCATCCCCTTCTATGATAAAAACCTAGAAGATAGCATTGAACAACAAGCAAATATATATCATGTGCATTTGTAACATTATATATCATGTAGATGTGACTGTAACGGATATAAGATTATAAATACACAATAAATAAATATGTTTCCACACAATCACTTGTTTGTTGCCATTTTATTAGATCTTTGGATCATGAGACCTGTTATAGTTTGATTCCCAGGACAGAATAAAGGAGCCACAGAGATAACCACCCCTTTTACACAGAGCCCCACTCTTGGGATTGAATGGAGTTGTGTGAAAAATGGTTTAGAGCTGCCTTTTCAGGCAGCAAAAGGTGTAGCAATTCAGAGGAATAGTCAGCATTCTTTGGACACTGGTGTTTAAACCTCAAGAACATCAGGAATAAATGCCAAATCCAGTGGTTCGTACATAGAATCAAGGTCACAGTCATTGATCTGAGAGTTCAAAGGAGTTAAGATGGGCTGGTGGCAGAGCAGAAGTGGAAAAACAAGAGACAATCTTTAAAAAATATTTTTATTGATTTCAGAGAGGAAGGGAGAGGGCGGAAGAGATAGAAACATCAATGATGAGAGAGAAAATTTGATCAGCTGCCTCCTGCATGCCCCACACTGGGGATTGCCCCACATTGGGGATTGAGCCTGCAACCTGGGTTTATTCCCTGACTGAGAATCGGACTGTGACCTCCTGGTTCATAGGCTGATGCTCAACCACTGAGTCACACCCATCAGGAGAGCTTCTTTTAAGGATGTTTGTTCCAAATAGCACTCAATGCTTTTAAGCGGGTCAGAGGTAGAATTTAACATAATTTAAGACCTAGGAACTAAGACATCTAAAGTTTGGAGGGTCTGAACTGGCTTGAGAGTCTGGCTACAGAAGTGTGTCTGGATGTTGGAAATGTAACCCAGGTTTCACTCTCCCTATGATGGAAGGAAGGCAGGGGTGGATGACCCATGGGGCATGGTGGCTAAATAGGCGGCCTCAGGACTTTGACTATATGCATCTAAATCCCAGTTCTAACACTTTTGAGTTGTCTAACCATGGATGAAGAATGGTGCTTTGCTATGCTTCTTTTCTTTCAGTGTAAACTATAGAAAATAATGCTTTTCTTATAAGGTTGCTATGATGTTTAAATGAAATCATGCATAACAAGCAATTAAAATAATTTTTGGCACATACAGTATTTAAAAATACTAGTGATTATGATTATTATCTTTGTAAGTAATAAACTATCTCTGGTTTTATTTACTTACTGTCAGGTGATCAAACAGAATCTCAGAAAATTATTCAGTCAAATAATTTTTAAGCCTTGAATTGTGTTTTACTTTCTCTAAGACATGAAAATTAGAAAATTAGAGGATCTTGCTTTGTGCATTCTCTTACTTTTAGATTCATTTGTCTATGTACTTCCATAATTTATTCAGCAAGGCAATAAGTATCAACTCTCTACACTGTTCTGAGTCTTAAGATATCCATATTGCACTGTCATTATTGAGTTAGGGTATGAGTGTAGAATTCTAAGTTCAAAGCACTTTTCAGCACTTTAGGGTATAATTTTACTATCTTCTGGCACCAAAGCTGCTGATGGGAAAGTTGAGGTCAAGATCATCCTTACTCCTTGTAGTTCTAGTAATTTTCTTTTTGTTCTTGGTAATGTTCTTGAAATTTTGTTGCATTGTGTACTTTTTAAAATGGGTTTTAAAAACTAATCTTTTTCATCATCAGCTTTATTACATCTGGAAACTTGTATCTTGCTTCAGTTCTTGGATACTCTCAGCCATTGCTATGAACTGAACGTTTGTGTCCTCCCCATCCCCATACATATGTTGAAACTCTAATTCTCAATGTAATGGTATTTAGAGGTAGGGCATTTGGGAGTTAGGATTAGGTTAGGTCATGAGGGTGAAGTCCTCATGATGTAATTAGTGCCCTTATAAGGAGATGAAGGGAACAGAGCTTCCTTTCTCCACCAGGTGAGGACACAGAGAGGAGACAACCATCTGTGAACCAAGAAGATAGCCCTAACCAAGAACTCACCCATGCCAGCATCCTGATCTCCAGGATCCAGAACAGTCAGAAACACTCTTGTTTAAGCCTTCCAGTCAATATTATTCTGTTACAGCAACACAAACTGAATAAGTCCCTCAATTGTCTCTGCCTCACTCTACCTACTTTCTTTTTCTGGACTCCTATTAGAATAACATTGATTCACCTGGAAATCTTCTACTTCTTTTCTTTCTTCCTTTCTTCCTTCCTTTCTTTCTTTCTTTCTTTCTTTCTTTCTTTCTTTCTTTCTTTCTTTCTTCTTTCTTTCTTTCTTTCTTCCTTATACCAAATGAATTTATGTTGTCTAAACATCCTATATAATAAAAGGCTAATATGCAAATTGTCCCCTTGGGAGTTTGATCGGGAGACCAGGAGTTTGACCGCTCACTATGATGTGTGCTGACTACCGGGGGGGGGGGGGGGCAGGGCAGAACATGGCAGGCGACCAGCTGTGGCGGGGCACTGAGGGAGCAAGGGAAGGAGGAGGCAGGGAGGTGGGGAACCTGATCATCCCTAATCCCTGGCCAAGCCTAGGGACCCTACCTGTGCACAAATTTCGTGCATAGGGCCTCTAGTCAAATATAAAAAGACTAGAACAAAAACTCTCCCTCCCACCCTCCTTCCCTATTCACTTAGTTCCTCTCCTTCAACCCCCCTAAAAATATCTGTACATATTGCTAAATATACATAGGGCAGGCCATAAATAGGAACAACAAAAAATAAAATCATGCTAATAATATTTTATTGTTAACTTAGGATACTAATAGCTCTTCTCCCACCCCGTAAACAGGCATCAGAATAATGCACAGCCATGTTGTTTTTTAATGTAGGTAATCTATTTGTAAGAATTTTAATCAAGAGGTAAGTGAGAAAGGAATCTGGTGAAGGTTTGGGGAAAATACGTAAAACTTAGCCTGTGACTTTAAAGAGATGAAACAATTTCCTGGCTGTTTCAGTCACATCTACATTGATACATTTAAAGGATGATAACTGGAGTGTCTTCATGCTGTCCTGAGAGACAGCGCAAGTCACTCACTGGTGGACTACTGTCTGTCATGATGGATAGTCCCTCTATCTAGAGCCTCCATACAATACTTGCAGCTAAGAATAGTCTGGAGGCATCCATGGATAATAATATCTGCTCAGCACAGGTCAGGCCGGCATCACAGAACTTCCTACCACAAGTCACACTCCGTAGTGAAATCCAGAGGAACATTCTGCTCTAGGTTCCACACCAACATTCAACTATCAAACTCTGAGCCAGTTTACCAGAGTATATGTGTGCCCCTAGGCAGAGAAAAATAAAAACCACATGCAGGAAAATGTGCCAAGTACATTATAAATAGGCTCCTCCTTTCCTTTCATCCTTTCTGGATTGTTCCTCCATTCCCACCGCTCCCTTCACTCTCTCCGGCATCCCCCCAAGCAATGCAGCTGTGATAGAAAATAAAACTATACCCTATTATCTTCCTTTCCAATAAATATGGTGGAGAAGTGAGGGGAACATTTATAAGGAGAAACAAAAGAGAACTAGAAACTGATGAAGCACCATCAGACTCAGTAACTGATCCAGACCCCTTGTGCCTGGGGCAGGGAGATGGACATCCCACTCATCATAGTTATTCTTGGGTTTCTACACCAACATAAATGGGAAGAGGTGCTATCGCAGTAAATACTTCACCAGTAATATTTTCATTTTATTGTCCATTGTTATCCCACTAATTTGAGTCTTTCTTTCTTTTTTTTTTTTCTTAAGAAGCACTGTAATTACTTCCATTTGGCAGATTAGAGAAGAGATTAAGTAAGGAAACTGTGAGTTACAATTTGTCAGAATTCAGGTCTCCACATGTGGACAGACATGGAAAATATGAGTAATTAAAGAATGCAGGCAAAACCTTGCTCATCTGTTTCTCTGTCTTTTGATTTGAGCTTCTGGCCACGATGAACCTGAAAGGAGGAGTGTACCGGCTTGTGAAAGTGAATCAAAGGGGTGGGGCTAAGAAGAGGGAGGTGTTACCGCTTTTTTAAGTTCCTACAGTTAAAAGTTACTTAACTCAGCCACAATTTCTTACTTTAGAAACGAATTTCCACTTCTGCTCCAGGGGAAGAAAACAAGGTATTGTAAATACTTCTTTGTTTAAAAAAGTTTATTTATGTTTTCCTTCTTTGTTGAAGTGCCTAGCTCAATAACAAATGATCAAGAGCCCCAGAAACAGAAATAGTATATAGAGCTCCATTCCCCGGGAATTCTGTGCAAGACAGAGAGATTTAACCCCGAGCTGGATCAATGTTTCTACTGGAAAGAGGGCTAAGGGGGAGAGAGCATTCATTTCCAAAGAAGCTAGAAAAATAGTTTTATTAGGATTGTGAAACTATGAATGAAGTTTTTTTCAGTCACATTTCTGGATTTGCTACTTCTGTATCTGTCACCCTAGGCAGAGAAATAGAATCTTCTCAGAATAATTGAGCCCAAATCCTTCACTTGGCAACATGAATTTGATCCTAGTCATTAATGTGTGGAACTAATGGCTTGACTCTCTACACTCCTGCCTTGGCCACCATACCATTAGCCATTATCTTTCCCCTCTTTCCTCGAATAATATAAATCCTTCCTCTCCTCCCAACCTTATGCTAGGTGCTCATCATAAAACACCCCAAGCTTCTACTTCCTTTGGAAAACAGCATTAGGTGAATATAGACATGCTGGGGGGCTGAGAGATGTCATCTTCTGATATGCTCAACTCCATGAAGTAGATGAAAACATCATCAGGATCATGAGGAAGTAAAGGGACTTTGGACCTCCTCTTGTGGAAAAGGGCACGGGACTCCTTCCCATGCCATCCTCCTCCTCATCATTCCTCTTTTCACCCTCCTCTTGTCCATCTTCTTTCATAACCCACTTCCTTGATTTACCATTAAAATCTTAGTAACAATGAAATACAATGACAAAACAAAGTATATTCAGAATCCAGAGAACGGGATTGTAGTGATAACTCTGCTATGGGATCACTGTGCCTGCTGGTCGGCACATTTAACGTCTCTGGGCCTTAGTTTCCTAGCTGATAAAATGAGGCAATTGGATTAGAGGGACTCTGAAATTCTTTCCAATTCTGATATGCAAGAGTATGTGTATTTACAATGAGACATTCTGCTGAAAGACATAATCATTTTCCTATTTCCATAGTTCTCCCCTAAGCCCCTTTACAGATTGAGCAAAAGAGCATTTCATTCTAAAAAAAGGCACAATAGGCTTCTGATTTAGAGATTTATAGTCTTCTCTGAAAAAAAATGTACAACATTTATATGGACAAACTATTTCCTGTAAAATCGCATCCTGAAATTTCACTTCCTTCAGAAAACACATTCCACTGTTGAGTTAAACTTTACTAATGACTGGCTTAGCACTTCTGTAAATTTCTGTGAAAAAATTTTTTTCTGTTGTATATGAGCTAATATATATGGGCTACATATGATATATTAATAATGATATTAATGAGAGAATTCATGATGTGGGAGGTAACTGAATATTAGCTTTCCACAAGAAATTAGCTCTTTCATTGGAAAGAATTATTGTTTGTAGGAATTTGTTATAAGTAACTAAATTCTAGAATAACTAGTTAGAAAGATAAAAATCCCAGACCCTAAGATAGTATTTTCTCTTCTTCTCCCTTTATGTTGGGTATGGTTTGGCTAACCAGCCAAACATTTTCCATATGAATGTGATGCATGAGTTCTAAAAAGACAAAGTAGTATATAGGCAGCAAAAAAAGCATTATCTGAATAAATATCACCCTAAAGGAAAGAGAGAGGTTATTTCCAAGTTGGCATTGAATCTGATAAGAAACAAAATACTCACAGGAAAGTTTCTAATGTTTTATGAGGGTGTAGCATTACTATAAAACTCGACTTTTTTTTCTTTTCCTTTAATCAACAATGTCAGCCTAGGATTAGCATCAGCCTCTGGAATAGGCAGGAACTGGAACTAGGACATGATTTAGAGGCTTGGAAGCTGTTTTGTTAAGTACAAGACTGTGGCTAAGAGTAATTTCAATGGTATCATTTAATCCCAGTCATGATGAAACCAAGACTTTGCCTACACACGCCTCTCTCTTGATCCAACTATTTGACGAGGGAGAACTGGCTTTTCTCAAGTTCTCATTCTGGTTTCCTCAGAGGGTCCGGTGGTGTCAGTGGGAGACTAAGTTTTAGACAATATTTTAGGAGGTTCCAGGCCCAGGAATTTGATTTATTTTTAATCATTTAACAAGGTTGAGACATTATCTGATTATAAAGTGACAGTAAATTTAACTGGTATTTTTAAAAATAGAGACCCGGTTCGAAAAGACTTAAAATATTAGGGTAACTAAAGGTGATATTTAGAAGTTGAATATAATATCAAAAGTGAGAGAGAGAGAGAAATCCTGAGTTCCTTTGTTCAAGAAGACCAGTTTCAGAGGGTCAAAAGTGAGTGAGAATAAAGGCAAAAAAATCTTGGTTTCTCTATGTCTCGACAAGCATTTCCCATTAAATTGTGCATGATTTCAAGTTTAAGGAGTTAAAAACAAAACAAAACAAAACAAAAAAGGGTCGCTAGAGCCCAACAATGAACATGATGCACAAAGTATTCCTATGAATCCATTTTGTGCAAAGTGCGATTAATAGATGTGGGATGTATGAAGTAGCATAAGAAAATTTCGCTCTGGAGAAACTTACCCTGGAGTTGGAAAGATAGAACTAGCAGTGTGACAAATGTCAAGTACGTGGCCAGAGCTATGTTATGGGACCTGGTGGCAGACATGCTCCTGTTTACCCCAAAGGTCAGGAAAAGCTTTCAGGGGAAAAGAAGGTACTTGGACAGAGTTGGATTTTAATAAAGGAGGAGAAAAGGCATTCTAGGAAACAGGAATATCATATATAAAGTGGTAAATAAGGTTAAAAAATAAAAATATGGATGAAAGTGGGTGAGAAAAAGTACAAAGTTGAAGCGATGCATCCTTATTTCTCATGTTCTGTGCAAAGTCAGCAGTAGTGCAGTGTATTGAAAAGAGGCACTGGCTGAGAGGGGGCCTGGTTCCACTGCCACTTTCATCGTGACAGTCTCAACACGGAGCTGCTGACACACCAGAACCCAAATGTTCTCGGATGTACATCAGCACTAAAATTTGAAACAATTTTCTTAAACACCCTGGACTTCAGTTTTCCAATATGTAAACTAATAATGTTGGACTTAATATGCTTTTAAAGCCCATAAGTCCATTTAGGTCTTATGAATACAAATTGGATAATATATATTTGTGTCATTTCACTGAAGTATAGTTAAAAAGTAATATATAAGCTAACAAATTGTTTTTACAAAAGTGAAATGAATGGAAAAGATTATTAAAATTATTAACATGAATGGAAAGGATTATTAAAATTATTAACATGGTCTCTCTTTCTCTCCTTTTTTTTTTTTTTAGATTTTCCCAATGGATTCTCTAACAAAATCAATCAACCAATTTGCCCTGGAATTTAGCAAAAAGCTAGCTGAGTCTGCTGAGGGTAAAAATATTTTCTTTTCTCCTTGGGGCATCTCAACCTCCTTAGCCATGGTGTATTTGGGCACCAGATATACCACTGCATCCCAAATAGCCCAGGTGAGTGGCAAAGCTCAGTCTTGCCTTAAAACAAAATGTTTTCTTTACCTTTTATCTTCATTTTTCTTCCAAATTCCAGATAGCTCACACTTTATAACTATATCCTCCAAAACAAAAGTTGCACTTTAAAAAGTTTTCTAGCCTGGCCGGCGTGGCTCAGTGGTTGAGCATTGACCTATGAACCGGGAGGTCAAAGTTCAATTTTCGGTCAGGGCATATGCCCAAGTTGTGGGCTTGATTCCCAGTGTGGGGCGTGCAGGAGGCAGCTGATCAATGATTCTCTTTCCTCATTAATGTTTCTATCTCTCTCTCCCTCTCTCTTCCTCTCTGAAATAAATAAAAATATAGTTTAAAAAGTTTTATAGACCATAAAAAGAAGTCTGGGAAAGGAAGTTGATTTGCTAGGAAAACCATTTAAGAACCTGTATTCTCTAGCAAAATCATACATAGAGATGATGAGTTTATCAAGTTTGGTTCAACACCAAAAATTATTTTATTTGGATTATCAAGACATTTCAAGAAGTAATGGCTCAAACATTAAATAGTAGAATTAGTATGTTTTGAATTTCAGAAGGATTTTCTTGAAAACACAAATAGAAAAGTCAAGTGAATTCTGTTCTTTGTACCTTGGTTGTTTCCTTTTTCAATCCCTATTTGTTTTGATGAATTTAAAACGCCTATTTGGAGCATGAAAATGCAAAACAATATTATTGTATAAGCAATTACTGATTTGGAATAAGCATCCTCAAAACATAGTGTATATATGTGTGTATGTGTAAGCATAGATAAACAACATAATAAAATAGCCACATATATGTGTTTGCATGCATGTGTAAATTTATACATATATGTGTGTGTATTTTAAATAAAAATAAACCAAAAAAGAATAAATCCAGCCCTAAATCATACAACAGTGGAAAGACCAAATGACAGAATTTCCACACAAGAAGTTGTCTTCTGTGCCAAGTATGGACATGGGTATAGCCAGTAATTCTGGGTAAGACAGGCAGAATATATATTCTGTGAATTTAGGCTTAGGCTATCAGCTTTATTCTTGTAGTTCACAAGATACTATGGGGTTTAAAACAGCAACAACAGAATCCTGGTTAATAATTAATTATCAGAGGTTTAACCATTCAGCGATAGAATCAATCTAAGGTGAATTTCACTTTTGGTCTGTTTCATATAAATATATTGCTGGGTGTTTCTTGCCCTTGTTTTATTTCATATATATTTAAACATTAATAGCTTCAGTTTGCACCCCTTTTCCCTATGGCAAATGGTCCCTGTGCTGTCACTGTGTGTCAGCAGGAGCTTTGGTCAGACTTTGTTCCTCACTGTGAGCTGGGTCAGGATGTGGTAGATGGAATTATCGCTTTGTTTTTTTACTGTTGTACAATTCAGGGGGAACAAGGGTGCCCACATCCTTCCTATTAACCTGCAAATAAAACTCTGGGGTGTAAATAAAGAATGCATCCATATGTCAAGTGGTGATAGACAATGGGAACAAAAGCATTAACCTAGGAAAAACAATTAGAACCCTTGCATTTTCCAGATAATTGGGTGGTGACTTTTGCTCAAATTGCTAATTGGACTCAATTGAACACCTAGCCTTCTTTTCAAAGCAACCATAGATAAAAATGAAACTTGGGAAACAAGAGAATTTTACCTCTAAGGGCATTTCCAACATCATCCTAAATGTCCTATATAAAATATTAAAATAAAGAGCAACTTAAATCAGACTTTTAAAAATTTTATTTAAAAGCAACTCTTTTTTTAAAAAAAATGATTTCAGAGAGGAAGGGAGAGGGAGAGAGAGATAGAAACATCAATGATGAGAAAGAATCATTGACTGGCTGCCTTTGCATGCTCCATGCTGGGGATGGAGCTCACAACCCAGGCATGTGCCCTGACCAGGAATCGAACTGTGACCTCCTGGTTCATAGGTCCATGCTCAACCACTGAGCCATGCTGGCTGGGCTAAAAGCAACTCTTGACCTAGGGTACTAGTTCAGCTAACATACTGTTAAATCAAATCAGAACCCCCTTGGTTCATTAATTATATGTTCTGTAGCAATGTATTTATCAAGGTGTGTTTGATATGATTATTTCTCTGCAAAGTGCACTCAAATATTGTCTTTTTATTGAAATTACAGGTGCTTCAATTTAACAGAGATCAGGACATCAAATCTTATCCTGAAAGTGAAAAGAAAAGGAAAACGGTATATTTTATATTTTAATATCCATTTGCTGATAAGGAGGAAACCACTTTTAGCATCCGCATGTTAATGGCTAATTTAAGCAAACTTTACTGGGTAAATATTCTTAGAAACATATGTTAAAATTTTTTTTGTAACACAGAATGTCTACACTTTTTGGAAGGGTTATCTTTTTTAACCTTATCTCTTCTCCTCTTTTGCTTCTCTTTCAAAACTGCTCTACTTTCAAAATTATTCCTGCTTTTGCAAAGTAACTGTGAAGAAAACGATGCCCTCAATTATTTTTATGTTTTTGCCCTGATAACATTAGAGAAAACATTTATATATTTTATAATTAATTTCATCTTTTTGTTCACAATACACCAAATTATTTCATTTAGTTGTAGGATGTTCCTATATATACGATTCTTGTTCAGTGTTTTTATTAGACTAATCCCTTTTCTTTTAAAGGATTTCAACTTGGGGAAGGCTGAAGAAATACACTCCAATTTCCAAACACTCATCTCCGAAATCAACAATCCCAGTAATGCCTATGTACTTAAAACAGCCAATGGGATATATGCAGAAAAAACTTACCCATTTCTCAAAGTGAGTGCAAATATGTTATTTAAAGTTGATGGGAAAGAAAGAGCCATGTGAGATCAAACAATGAACTCTTTGTACATTTCTTTAGGGATCCCAGGGACAACCTTAATGTGGTCAACATTTCTGGTAAACAATCATTTAGACCAACCAATAAGTGTCTAGTTGTAAAGAAAACCAATAATAAGTCTCAAACCAGGTCTAGTGAGCAGATCTTTATCCAAAGTAGTAACATATAAATGTGGTTTATGTAATCTGTGTGCCAACATTTGCTTCATGGGAAATGGAATAAAATATGTAGAGTTTGGATGTAGGGTAAAACTGAAGGAGCAGAAGGTGATGTTGGACACAGGAATATGCCTGGAAACTGTGTAATGGAGAGAAAAGCTGACATTGGAATCAGACAAGTCATTTTCCATCATGACTTTAGAGATTATGGAAGATTCTTAACATGGAATAATATCAACTTTGTCCCTTCTTGAGTGGTTGGAATTCCATGGAGCAGGCCATGACTTCATCCTCAGTTCAGAATCAAAGGCTTCTCAGAGGGGTCTACCCAGGAGCCAGGGCAAGCATTTACTTGTCTCATATTTGTCCATTACATCTTTGGCACATCTTAGAAAGGAGCAGGAGGACAGAGGGGTCCAGTGGACAAAAAGCAAGGACATTGCGCAGGGTGGAGGGATAGCAGTAGAATCAATAAACCTATCTTGAGATTTCAAGCAGTAATGTCAGAGCTGTGGGTGGCAGACCTTCCTTCTATACCTGGAGTTTTTCATGGCTAGTCAGAGCCCAGAAAACTTTAAAGAGGAGGAGTATAGTCTTTGACCAAAACAGGAGTGGGAAAGAGAGAAGGGAGCAGTGTGTGTGTGTGTGTGTGTGCAATTGTTCTTCTATCTAGCTTTCTTCTATCTAGCTTTTTGATAACCTAAATAGACTTGATTTCTCAGTTTTGGAAAAACTCTACAAAGGAAATTTTACCTGTATCTTTCAGAAATATTTAGAAGACATGAAAGCATACTTTGGTGCAGAGCCACAGCTTGTGAACTTTTTGGGAGCTTCTGACCAAATCAGAAAGGAGATCAACTCTTGGGTTGAAAGCCAGACTGAGGGTAAGCTGTCACCAAGGTGCCCATCTGCATGCTCTCTCCAAGCATTGGTTTAAAAAAATATTTTTTATTGATTTCAGAGAGGAAGGAAGAGAGAGAGAAAGAGGGAGGGAGAGAGAGAGAGAGAGAGAGAGAGAGAGAGAGAGAGAGAGAGAAACATCCCACCATCCCACACTAGGGATGGAGCCCACAACCTAGGCATGTGCCCTTGATTGGAATCAAAACAGGGACCCTTCAGTCCACAGGCTGACACTCTATCCACTGAGCAAAAGAGGCTAGGGACAAGCATTGTTTATTGTTACACTGTCCACAGTGTTATTGAAATTAACTCTGATGCTTCATTTCATCTGCCTCCCCTGAAGGATCCCACACATAATAGCTCTAGTTTCAGCTTTGAATAAATAACATATAAAAGGCCCACTCATAGTTGTTATTCAGAAAATTAATGTTCATTGGAGTGAATTGAGGAAATTGGCAGCCCTAAATTCTCAGTTCCTTTTTCATGTAACTTTCAAAAGCCATGGTGAGGCAAAAATGACCATTATATTGAACTCATTCCTGATTTTGAGTCATCCAAAAGTTGACTCTTTTAGAATTAGAATTAGCCAGCATTTACTGGGTACTTGCACTGTTCCAGTTTACAAGAGGACCAAATAAGACTGTAGAAGGAACAGCCCATTGTAATATGCAACTCAAATTCACCATGGAAAAGGTAGGAGAATAGTAAGGGGTAGAAGAATAGTAAGGGACTGAACTAGATCTCTGGTCTTAAATCTTTAGCCCAGTGTCAAGTATGTTGTCTGGAAGACAGTTGGGAACCCTACACATAGGGAGGCTATGAGCAAATAAGTAATCTGCTACCTTTTCACCCAGAAAAGCCTTTTAGACCTGAGAGGAGACCTGTCATCAGATGCTGCATAGCTTTGTCCTTGTCATGCTTCCCCAGTGGGGTTGGCACACTCCAGGGGAATGATAACTGTCTAGATGACAGAGCTGTCCTGGAAATCTTCCTGTGATGACAAATGTGCCATACATCTGCGTTGCCCAATTTGATACGGTCACATGTTCTATCCACATGTGACCAGAGATGATTTGAAATGTGGCTAACTCAACAGAGGAACTGAATTTTTAAATTTTAGTTCATTTTAATTTACATTTAAGTAGACTTGTGTGTCTGGTGGCTACCATATTCAACAACACAGATGTTTTAGAAGAACTGAACAAATACTTTAAATTATGGAGGAAAGAGTAAACTTCAGATTATGGTCACTATATGGTCAAAATACACAATGGGCACACTTTGAAAAATCCTCTGTTGTCATAGCACTCATCCAGTAAGAGGTCCTCACAATTATGCCCGCCCTGGATGTGGTCAGTCTTTTAAGTCCCTGTTTCCCTAATTTCATGTCTACATTCCTACCGCTGGCCCTGTGGACTCTATTTCTTAGAAGTTGAACCTTCCAATGAGGGAGAAAGCTGAAATTTTTCTGTATGTTATTTTACACATTGGACACAAATATCTGCTATTTGGCAGCTATTCAACATCAGTTTAAGTAAAAAATTGATCAGCTATTCAGGAACTTTGACTTTGTTGCATCCTTATGGAGACATTGCTAGAAACTCTTTGGCATGCCTAAGTTCTATCTGAATCACTTGAAAGAAGCTTCTTTCCTTGGCCCTTCAAATAGGTCTTTTTCCAAATAGCCGCATGAACTACCGGAACACACGGCATTCAGAGTCAAATTCTCCAAGATAATACCAGTCATGTGTTGCTACAATTTTTTTCCTTATAGTCTATAAGCTCCTAAAATGTGAGGAATTGGGGAAGGTTATTGTGTGCATATTTGTAATCTCAAAATCTATCATGCGCTTGGCAAATAGGACCCTCTAGTGCAGCCGTGGGCAAACTACGGCCCACGGGCCGAATCCGGCCCGTTTGAAATGAATAAAACTAAAAAAAAAAAAGACCGTACCCTTTTATGTAATGATGTTTACTTTGAATTTATATTAGTTCACACAAACACTCCATCCATGCTTTTGTTCCGGCCCTCCGGTCCAGTTTAAGAACCCATTGTGGCCCTCGAGTCAAAAAGTTTGCCCACCCCTGCTCTAGTGTCACATTAATATGTGCCCAGCAGGACTTACCAGTAACCTGAATATCTGTGAAGCCTATGCCCTTCCCATTACCTAGACTAGAGCTACCAAGGATGTGTGCAATGAGCAAGCCAGTAGGTGGCACTTTAACTCTGAAGAGGATAGTAGAACATTTCTTAGAAGAGTCCACTTGCTCTGCATTACTTTGAAGTTGTCTGTAAATACATTTTGTACATCCTTTGTCAAATAAACTAACAACACGGCTGTGGATGCAAGAGGCTATGCTCCTTGAAAACGTATGAACCCAGAGAACAAGGCAATGAAACTTAAATCATCTGGATGTCAACTAACTTGAGATCAACCTGTGTAAACCTCAGTCCTCGATATGCTCTCTATTTGCATCTACAACTCTATCAAATGATAGAATAATTCACTTAGTATGACACAGAGCTTAAAGAACAACAACTTCTGTGCAAAAACCATATTTAAAAAATGACACATGACTCCCCAGGTTAAATCATCAACAATTTTTCAAATTAAGTTTAATATACTGTCTTTAATCAGATAAAAAACAAATATGAAAGTTTCAGGAAATTTTCACATCAGCATTGAAAACCAAATTTATATTTAATTTCTAAAACCTAAAGGTCTGTTTCATGGGGGGGATGTTTGTTTTGTTTTGTTTTGAGTAGACATGTTCAAGCCACACCTCAGAGCTAGTGGAATCTCTAGAAGTGCTGCCCTTAGAACTTTTAAATAAAGCTGCACAGTGTTTGGGAGATGCCCCTGTGAAGACTAGCGGTTGAGGGGTATGTTGGAGCCCATAGCAAAGGCTCACAAGAGCCAGTTTGCATCTCTTCAGGGGTTGGAGGATACAAACCCACAATGGTAGCATTCAAAAAAAAAATCTTTAACCTAAATATTATCTTTGAGGAAACATCAGACAAATTTGAACTAAGAATTGATGGACATTCATTTTTTAAAATATATTTTTATTGATTTTAGAGAGGAAGAGAGAGATAGAAACATCAATGATGAGAGGGAATCATTGATTGGCTGCCTCCTGCACTTCCCCTACTGGAGACCAAGCTTGCAATCTGGGCATGTGCCCTTGACTGGAATCGAACCCGGTACCCTTGAGTCTGCAGGTGGAGGCTCTGTACACTGAGCCAAACCGGCTAGGGCTGATGGACATTCTTATAAAACTTTTTCAAAACTATCAAGGTCATGGAAGACAGGTGTTGACTGAGAAACTCTCCCAGGTTAAACTTGGAGTGCGGGTGAATTTCCCGCCAAAATATAAGATGGCTCTGTCTTTTGGTTTTGTTCCATCCACCAAAAGGGTGGATTACAAACAAATATTTGGTAATACGCAGTTACAATCGGCCCGAGTTTACACGTTTCCCGCACTCCACCGCAAATCTATATGAACCGAGTTAAAGACGGCTCCCGCGGAGTACGCGCAATTCACGCGAGCCGACTTAACTCGTTTCCCACACTCCAAGTTAAAGAGGACTAACAACTAAGAGGAAATGACAACTAAGCACAGCTTGAGAACTTGGATCATTTTCTAGTCCAGAAAAAGAAGTTATTGGGACAACTGATAAAACTTGAATAAGATCTGTTCATAGTATTCTACCAAAGCTAACTTCCTGGCCTGGCCAGTGTGGCTCAGTGGTTGAGCATCAACCTATGAACCAGGAGGTCTCAGTTCTATGCCCGGTCAGGGCACATGCCTGGGTTAAGGGCTCAGTCTCTGGGAGGGGGCATGCAGGAGGCAGATGATCTATGATTCTCTCTCATCACTGATGTTTCTATCTCTCTCTCCCTCTCCCTTCCTCTCTGAAAACAATAAAAATATATTTTTAAAAAGGTGACTTCCTGGTTTGGATTATAATATTTCATAATCATCATTTTTGTAAGTGTGATATCATCGAGATCTAACTATACCATTTGAAATCTGTCCTTTTGCTCTTGTAGGAAAAATCCTGGATCTCCTACCTGATAATGCTGTAGATTCTGCAACCAGAATGGTCCTGGTGAATGCCCTTTACTTTAAAGGAACCTGGGAACATCAATTCTTAGTCCAAGACACCACAGAAAAGCCTTTCAGAATAAACAAGGTAGGAATAATTTAATAATCAGCATGGATTTTCACGTGGCATTGTAAAGGGGATCCTATTTTAAATTCACCCCTCTTTTTAAATATATATTCTTATAAAGTATGGCTTTTACTAGGGCACAGATGGCTAAAGTGAGCATTCCCAATTTCATCCCACCTTGAAATTTCCTTTTCTCTAAAAATAGACTCTTCACATATTTTATCACTCAGACCTTGCTACAAGTAAGCTAGAGAAAGAAGTTATATTTGTTTCCCAGGTGAGCAATACAGTGTGGTTAAGTGATTAAGTTAGAAGTCTACTAGAACCGAAAGTCTTCACTATTACTTCTGTTTTTGTTCTACTAAACCTATACTAGCTTCTACCAAAAAAAGAAACAAAAATTTTAAAAAATCACCTCTCTCATTAAGGTTTCTATTCATGCTAGGACATAACACACTTGTTTTTGTACTAGGAACCCACTACAGCAAAAATGGAAACAAACATAAGATGACAGGTATATCTCATAGAATCCAAGGGCCGGCAGGTGGCTGGAACTTGGACTTGCATGGAAACAAGGATCCAAATGTCATCAGGATTCATTCTCTACCTTTTCAACTGTTTCTCTCATCATTCTTCTCTCAAGCTGAGGTCTAACTTCCTCTTCTTCCCAGTTGGCAATGACCCACACACCTCTTCCATTCGCAAGACAGTATAATAGATCTCATTCCAAAATTCCTGGGAAAGGAACTGATTGGACAAAGTTTGCACAAGTTGTTTAGTCTGGGGTGGGACATCTCATACAAGCAGTGCTGCTGAGGACCTATTGCTGAAATCCTGTGGATGTATGCAATAAGCAGTTCCCAGTCAGTGGGATAATAATGGGGCAGGCTAACCAGAAATGAGCTAGATAGTCACCTTGGTATATTCAGCAGGAGTTTTCAGTTGCAAGTGAGAGGAAAGCCTTCCAAACTAGTTCCAGTAAAATGTGAATTGTGTTAGCATTGACTCATGTAAATAAGAGAAACTGACATGTCCTAGAGTGGCAACCCGGGAGTCTCAAAACATAATCTCACTTCTCTCTCTCTCTCCCTCTCTCTCTCTCTCTCTCTCTCTCTTTATTTGAGGAGGTGTCTGTTCAGATCTTTTGCCTATTTTTAAAATTGGGTTGTCTGCTTTATTACCACTGAGTTTTTAAGAGTTCTTTGTAAATTTTTCATACCAGTCCTTTATTGGGTGTGTTTTGTAAATATTTTCTCCTAGTCTATTGCTTATCTCTTCATTCTCTTAGTGAATTTCCATTTTTATGATACTGAAATGTTTGCCTTTGAAACACACCTTATTCAGTGTCTGAATCATTGGCACTTACATAGTTTGCATAAGATTATATACTCTTTTAAGTGTTTGATAGAATCAGCAACTATGATATATACATGTTGCCACAATAATGTTAGAGAATGAAACTCCATATCACCTGTTAATGATGCTATCCAGTAGAAGACATATTTCCAGAGAGCAAAGTCTGAGTAACTTTATTCAGTATTTAGCAGAGGATCACCAAATTAGCCCATGCCCAAGACTCCTGGGGACCAATGATGATAAAGAATGAAGGATTTGGTGGAACACCTCCTCAGTGACTTTGCTACTTATTTTCTATAGACTACAAGCAAACCAGTGCAAATGATGTCGATGAAAAAAAAGCTTCCCGTTTTTCACATAGAAAATCCACAAGCAATCGGCCTTCAACTCTACTATGAGAGCCGTGACCTCAGCCTGTTCATACTGCTGCCAGAAGACATCAGTGGGCTGGATCAGGTAAGACATCATCTGTCTGACATGAGGATGATTCTGGTGTTTACCCCCATGTAATATGGCCTCCCTGTCTCCTAACTTGTAGAGGAAGGCAACCAATACCATTTCAGCTTCACAAAACTCTGTAGGGATGATATGGCTATTCCTTAGAAAGTGTCAGTAATTGATAGACACCTGTAGCCTGGGGTATTCCCACAAACAGCAACATGAACAACAGATACAGATATTGTCAGTCACAAAGTTGTGTGGATTGATCGTTCAGGTCTTTCTTCTCCCTCTGGCAGGACCTACCTAATGGGAAATTATTATTTTTTTTGTTAATCCTCACCCGAGGGTATTTTTCCATTGATATTTTTTAGAGAGAGTGGAAGCCTCTCTATCTTACCTTGTAAGAAGAGTCACATTCTTACGAGATAAGCCTTTCTTTCTAAGAGTGCAGGTTCCTGAGGGAGAGACTGAGAGAGAGATACATTGATGTAAGAGAGACACATCCATTGGTTGCCTCCTGCACATGCTCTGACCAGGCCTGGGGATTGAGCCTCAACTGAGGTTACTAGCCCTTGATCAGAATCTTATCTGAGACCTTTCAGTCCATGGACTGAGGTTCTATCCACTGAGCCAAACTGGCTAGTATGGGAGATTAATTTTTTAATCACCTGCATTAAAGTAGCATTAGATGTACATTTTAAAACATTAAATTTACTTCCAAAAATTGTAAACACAGTTTTATCATGTAGACAGTCTTTCGAAGAAATAGTCTATATAAGTATCATCTTCAAGTATTATTTAAGTTGTTTGTCAGCCACATTTCTATTAAGCCTGATATAATTTTGGCCAGATGACATTTCTGAGTAGTTTGCATGTCTAAATTGAACATTGATTTCTCCGCACCAGATGGCCTGTCTTTCTTTGCACAATGCCTAATTTTTTATGTGTGCTAGACTTTTTATACTTAGAAGTTTCCATGGTCCTACTAGTATGTAGAAAAGAGTTCCCACTGTATCATAAAATTTTTGAAACTGGAGACGATGGTAAAAATAAGACCATGTGTGGACACTAAACCATGAGTCACATTCTTACAAGATAAGCCTTTCTTCCTAAGAGTGCAGGTTCCTGAACTTAAGATATTGTCACATTATTAATGTATGCCATTTGTAAGTATGTCATTGACAGCAAAACTTGGGTCTAGAAAACTCACAAAGTAACAAAAGCACATACTTTGAAACAAACAGGTTATTAAAAAAAACTAAAAAAATTTTTTCTCCACATACACATATGTATATATACATACATATATATTTATTATTTTAAAATTTATAACATAAAGAGGAGAAAAAGCACCCTCAAAATCACTATAAAAATAGTCATTACTCAGGGATAGATGGTGATGGAAGGAGACTTGATTTGGGGTGGTGAACACACAATACAATATACAGATGATGTATTATAGCATTGTATACCTGAAACCTATGTAAGTTTATTAACCAATGTTACTAATCAATTTTTAAAAGTCATTACTCTTAAGATTTGGGGATTTCCCTGGAGAGGGACAGAGAGTTAGAAACATCGATGAGAGAGATCGATCAGCTGCCTCCTGCACAACCCCCAGTAGGGATGTGCCCGCAACCAAGGTACATGCCCTTGACCGGAATCTAACCTGGGACCCTTGAGTCCGCAGGCCGACGCTCTATCAAACGGTCGGCACTAATCAATTTTTAAAAGTCATTACTCTTAGATTTGGGGATTTCCCTATCTTTTTTGGTTTTTCTTTCTTTCTTTGCATTGTTTATGGTTACTAAATTCATATTGTTGTGATTATAGACATCTTATTCTATCTCAGATTTTATGTTAAAAAATTATCTCCCATGTTAATAAAACTAATGGTTTTTGTTCCCTGACATACTTGTCCTATAGTATATGCTTTTGTGTAGACAACATGCAAATTATATTTATTTTTTATGATGGAGCTGGAGAGTATTATGCTAAGTGAAATAAGTCAGTCAGAGAAAGATACATATCACATGATCTTACTCATTTGTGGACTATAATGAACAACACAAACTGATGAACAAAAACAGATCTAGAAACAGAGAAGCATCGATCAGATGCTCAAACCTCAGAGGGAAGGTAGGGGAGGGTTGGGGTAAGGGGGAGAGATCAACCAAAGGACTTGTATGCATGCCTATAAGCATAAGCGATGGACGCAGACAACAGGGGGTGAGGATGAGGGCAAGACTGGGGACATGAGGGGACAATGGGGGGATAAAGACACATTTGTAATACCTTAATCAATAAAAAAACTAAAAAACACACTAATGGTTTTCGTGCCCTGACTTACAACTTGTCCTATAGTATATACTTTTGTGTAGACAACATGTAAATTATATCTATTTTTTATGTATCTGAGTGTATTTTTCATCTTTTGCATATTATCATAGAAGTACTTTCATTATGAATCAAGATAGAATTCTCTTCCATCCTGAGAACCATCAATCTGCAGAACAAAGATTCTGTAGGTCAACCATGTGAAGGATGTTGTGACCCAAAGAATTTCCATACGTGTGTGTTTTGTTACTGTGGTAATGGGAGTAATCATAATTCATCAATTATATAGAGATCTCACTCAACCAATATTTCCCACTCCACTTTGGAATTACTGACTTTTTCTCCCTTGGTTCCACACCTGCAGCTGGAAAAGGCCGCCACCTATGAAAAGTTGAGTGAGTGGACCAGCGCAGACATGATGGAGATGTATAATGTGAAGCTGCACCTTCCCAAGTTCAAGCTGGAAGAGTCTTATGATCTCAAGTCAGCCCTAAGCAGCATGGGGATGAGCGATGCCTTTAGCCAGAGCAAGGCTGATTTCTCAGGAATGTCCCCAGAGAAAAACCTATTTCTGTCCAATGTTTTCCACAAGTCCTTTGTGGAAATAAATGAAGAAGGTACCGAGGCTGCAGCTGGTAGTGGGAGTGAGGTGAGTTATCGAATTAAACTCCCAACCATTGAATTCAGTGCAGACCACCCATTCCTCTTCTTCATCAGGCACAACAAAACCAATACCATTCTCTTTTATGGGAGATTCTGCTCCCCCTAAGCCTGCTTCTTTCTCATCAAACAAAACAATGTGAAAAATACATCATAAGATGGAAAAACAATTATAATAAAAACTAGTTTGCAGTCTAGGTATTTTTCACATTTGAATATTAGCAAATAAATCTTGAAATAATGCATTCTAATGATACTGTCATATCTTTTTTTCAAATATTACTATAATATTTATTATATTTAAAAAATGACATCCAGGCCTCAGACTACAAAAGAGTAAAAATAAGAGAAGATATTATTTACAGCACGGGGAATCATAGCCAGCACAAGCATGAATTCCTTAATATTAAGAAACCTGGATACTGTCATATCTTTATGGCTAGAAAGAATGGCAAATTTTATTTCTACCACTAGACATTTTTTTTTAATGTGGCTTTTATTTACATTTCAGAACTACTATGCTATTCAACTGAACGCCTTATAATTCTTGAGCTGCCTGTCATGGTATTATCACTTATGTTTCACATGCATCATTTAATGAAGAAAAATCTTTATAAAGATGATATATTGATAAACAAGAATTTTTTAGAAGTATAATTTTGACAGTTCATAAATTACTACTGGAAAATTAAATCCCCCTTTTCTGTTATCTATTTAAAAATACTCTTGACATTAATGGAAAAGCTAGTGAAAGCCAAATGAAATTTGGAATTTACTTAGCAATGTACCAATACTGGCTTCTTAGTTTTCACAGATGTGGCTTGGTCATGTTAGATATTAGTGTCACCGGAAAGGGAGCAAGCTCTGAGCAGGGTTGGCCTGTAATGCGTGGGTTCTTGACTTTGTGCAGGAAAGATTTCACAGTCCAAGTCCAAGTAATTTTTAGAGTACATTTATTAAAGCTGGGAATATGAAGCTGAGAGGTCTCAGGGGAGAAGCACCAGGACAGAGCCTAGGTGAGTGCTTCGGCTCTCCAGAAACTGCTTACTGGTAGTCTCACCAGCTGTTATTCTACTTTTAGAGAAGATTGATTGTGTCACTCTAGATTGCTTGTTTGACTTTATTTAACAAATGGAAGAGTGGGTCAGACCTGAATATTATTATATAAATGAGTACAAGAAAATGTACTAAACAAATGACTATGTCTTAGCTATAAAGATGGAAAATTGTAATATATATGATATTTTATCATCTCTTTATGAAACACCTCATATTAAGTCGCAATGAAAGAAATCACTTGTGGGGATTTTCTGCCTGGCATTTTGCTTCCATAGGCCAGCTGTAGATTGCCCACACCTTCCTGTAAGGGCAGACAGCTTCTGTGAACTAGTTCTGATCTCTGGCAAATTTCTTTGCCACTGGCAGAAGGCACATTTCTGTGTCAGCCATACCTTCAAAGAAGTCTGAATCTCAGCCTTGGGGTATTAGGTTGCCTGTAGGTAAAGGTGCTCATTGTCTGTAAATGAGAAATCAACTTTTTTTTTTAAAGAATGTGGAGTGATCCTTTTGAGAACATCTATTTGTGTATTTTTTCCATCATTAGATGATTTTATTACTAAAAAAAATTAAAACTCTCATATATTTGCATTTAAACGTGGAAATACAATTTCAAAACTTCATAAAAATCTTCCAAACAGAAAACATTTGGTGGGCTTCAAACCGTAAAAATGTTAAAAATACAACATTTAGAAAAAATTAGCTTGCAGAAAGAACTGACTTTCAAGAGGATGAATGGTTTTTTACTAGTGAGATTTCAACTAGAAATATTTGCACAATTAGTATATGGATTGAAAAAAATCAAGTGTCAAGATTTAGTAAGTAAAACCAAAGATATTTTTATTCCATTTAAATCAACCCATTTCCCCAGCAGCCTTTCTTCCTGACAGCCATCAATGATGCAAGTTTAGAAATAAACTGAACTTAAAACCAGGTCTTCAAATTAACTCTATGTCAAAGCTTTAAACTAAAATGAAAACAAACACACATTTAATTACACTGGTCTCATTAAATTTTTAAATTTTTGTAAGCAGAAAAGAATGAGTATTTCTAATAAAATTTTTATTTCTTATTCGTTTTAATTTCTGTTTATGTGTTTTATAGTGTTCATCATATATTAATAGTTAACATATTAGTACACATAAGTTCATATAGGTACTGGGGATATATGCTCAACAATTGTTTTGATGGTGTACCCTACGCAGTTTGGAAACAAATGGCTTTAGGAACCATTTTTCACCTCTGGTTTTGCTTTTGGTTAATTTTCAAAAGCAAGTCTCAATGTCCGAACTTTTCTTGCATGCACACACTGAGCAGGAATTCTGCGTATGCTAACACGGGAAAAGGAACCAATCCCCCACTGGGTGTAGGACGGGACACGAGGCTCCCCCGCCAAGCCATCTGCACTCGGGCCTGGGCGGAGGGTGAGCGCGATGCTCAGGCTCCTCCCGGGCCCCAGCCTGGGGATGTGGGTCAGATGGTTCAGACCCGTGCAATCCGGCTGCTTTGAGTCATCGCCGGAAGCAAATCAGAGCGAACGGGAAGCATCTTCCAAGTTGGACTAGTAGCTGCAGAAGCAGGAGCAGCAGCCGCAGCAGAAACTTCCCAGGTACCGGGGCTGGGAGGCGCTCGGGTCCCAGGTTCCCACGCGGACCCCTCTGGCCTGGAGCTCGGGCGCAGGGCGGGAAGGAGGAAGGGAGGGAGGAAGACAGGCAGAGGGCAGGCGCTAGAGGGGGAAGGGGCGGAGACGACTAGGGGAAAGGTGGCGAGGGGTGACCCGGCGGGATTGCGACTGGACCGGGGTCGCCGTGGTCCCCGCCGCGCCCTTGGCTCCGCCACGCAGTCTGGTGCGCTACCGTGCGGTGCGTGTCCGCCTGGGCGGGGGGCGTGGGACCCGAGCGCTGCCGAGCGGCGACTGGGTTAGGGGGTGGTCCCGGGTGGGAGGGACACTGCGGCCTGCTGACGCCACTGCGTTGCCCTTTGCCAGCCGTGAACGAGTAGCCAGTGACCCAGAAGGGTGGGCGGAAACTTTGGGAGGTGAGTGGGAGGAGCCGCAGGGTGCAGCCGGAAAAGGGGAGTGCTAATTGCGCCCTGGCCTGGAATTTCTGTGCCTCCTGGGGCAAGTTCCGGGGTGCTGGGCGAGCCACCTCCCGCGCAGATGCCTGTCCCCTGACTGTCCCTCTGCGATCCAGCTTCTCTCTCTCTCTCTCTCTCTCTCTCCTTCCCTTACCCCCCCCCCCCGTTTCCTTCCTTCGTCCCTCCTTCCTTCCTTTCTTTTTCTATTTTTTTTTCAATTCTTTGTCCATTTTTCCTTTCTTTCATCTGTTCTTCATGGGCTTCTCTCTCTCAACCTGAAAAGGTGCGCCCTCACCTGTTGTCTTCTCCGCAGCAGCCGCAGTACTTAATGGAATGGAGTCCTCACTTCCCAGTCACTCAGCCTTGTAGCTCCAGCCCCTGCTCCCTCTCCTTGCTGAGGCTGCTTCAGGGCCAAACTGCCTCCAAATTCACTACCTGCCTGCCCCCTCCTCCCGCCTGCCTCCCAGCTTCCCTGTTCCCTCCTCCCCCCAGACGAGAGAGAGAGAGAGAGAGAGAGAGAGAGAGAGAGAGAGAGAGAGAGAGAGAAAGAGAAAGAGAGAGAGAGAGAGAGAGACTGAGAGACTGACTCGCAGAATCAGCTCAGAATCAGCTCTCCCAGAATGTCAGAATGTTCCCGATTGCTGGGTGGCAGTCCCTGCCCTCTTCCTCTTACTACCTGCAAACATTGGACATTCTCCAGAACTAGGTGACTTTCTTGTCTTCTGCCTCCACTGTACCTTTTGAGTGATATCATCCCATTTGCCTAGACCAGGGGTGGGCAAACTTTTTGACTCGAGGGCCACAATGGGTTCTTAAACTGGACCGGAGGGCCGGAACAAAAGCATGGATGGAGTGTTTGTGTGAACTAATATAAATTCAAAGTAAACATCATTACATAAAAGGGTACGGTCTTTTTTTTTTTTTAGTTTTATTCATTTCAAACGGGCCGGATCCACTGTACCTTTTGAGTGATATCATCCCATTTGCCTAGACTCTCCTGGAATCAGGATGCTGTGGTTCCCAAGCTCTCCCTCTAGGACCCTTGCTCACCTTATGTCACCTGCAAACACCCTGGCTGTCTGAGTTCTGTTCTGTTGGTGTGGTGTGTTCCACACATGTCACCTGGAATGTACACCTTCCCCATTCCGTGCTGGCTCCTCATATGAACTTCCTGTGGCCCCTGGCCACTCCTCAGCATAATTAGTTAGCAGTCTATTAGGAGATAAGCCGAGGCACATTAAAAATTCTAAGAGTTTATTTGAGCAAAAGATCAGTCTGAGTCTGGCCGCATCCAATCTAGCAGACAGAAAGGAGTTCCAAGAAGCTGTAGAAAATGAGAGGCTTTTGTAGGCAGAAGGGACCAGGACAAAGATTGGGCAAAAGGCCGGTGGGTTATTGCAGTTACTTTCCTTTAGGGACGGCAGGGGTCCACCAAGCAGATGACCTAACTAGTGCTGATCAGGTACCCTGATTGACTGCTTTAAGATTCCATTTCTGGGAGAGCTGAAACTGTAATTAAGTCTTGGTTTGGTGATGTGGGGCTTCACATAAGTGACTCCACTTTGGGTCTGTTGTCTTTTAAGAAGCTTCAGTGTAATCCTTCACCCCCGCCGCTCCCTGCCCTGATGTGATCAGTCCCCCAGCAGGGCAGTTCCATCTCCCACTCTCTAGTGCAGTGATGGCGAACCTTTTGAGCTCGGTGTGTCAGCATTTTGAAAAACCCTAACTTAACTCTGGTGCCGTGTCACATATAGAAATTTTTTGATCTTTGCAACCATAGTAAAACAAAGATTTATATTTTTGATATTTATTTTATATATTTAAATGCCATCTAACAAAGAAAAATCAACCAAAAAAATGAGTTCGCGTGTCACCTCTGACACGCGTGTCATAGGTTCGCCATCACTGCTAGTGCGTGAGCTTCCTCTGTATTCAGCTGTACTGATCAATGGCAGTGGTCCACCAGCTGGGTCCCCAGCCTTTTTTTCATGCTATAGGGTGAGCCACAGTATTTCTCTAAAATTCCAATATATTCCTGTAAAGCATTTGTTTAAAAACCATGCATGGCTTTCCAGCCAATAGCTCAAGTTCAGACTTTTAAACCTGGCACAAGGGGCCCATCCTGACTCACCACACCCTGTCCCTGTGAGGACACCACACAGACCCACTCCCTGGCCACACACAAACATATCCCCCTGCTACATTCTTTGCATCTGCCAATCCCACAGCCACAGCCTTAAAATTCACCTCCTCCTTTCACCAGCTTACAGAAACTTTTGCCCCACCTTGTAGGGCCAGCTCACCACTCATCTTCACCACAGGGGCTGCTAAAGTAAATTCATCCTGCTGTTCTGTGGCCTTCCATGGGTCTTTGTAAATTCTCCTGTTACAGGGCCCCTGGCTGGCTTGTAACCATGCATTTATGTCTGTGTGTCTCCCCTAGGGAGGGAGCTCGCAGGTGGGAATTATGACATTTATTGTTCATTTCCTTGCCCAAACCCAAATAAGGAAAGTTCTACTTAAATGCTCTTTGAACAAATTCACTTTGGGATGTGTGTATGAGGAAGGGGAGTGGAGCAGGGAGTTGGCAGGTGTTCAAAGCTCCCAGGAAGAGGAAGATGACACACTTGGTACCAGAAGGCTTGCTTTTGCGGCCAACTCGGCCACTCTTACTATGAGACCTTAATATGAGTCCTGACCTTGTCTGTTCACCTGTAAAGGGAAAACTAGTTTAATGCCAACTCATTTTAAATATATTTTATTGATTTTCTACAGATTTTATGACACAGTTGAATTGTGGCACTGGTACCCAAAGGTATTATTTTGTTTTATATTGAAATTAATTCCTTTTTAGACTCATTGGGCAAGGTTCATTTTGTTTAAAGTTCCAATCCTCTAACACAGCGGTTCTCAACCTGTGGGTCTCGACCCCTTTGGCGGTCGAACGACCCTTTCACAGGGGTCGCCTAAGACCATCCTGCATATCAGATATTTACATTACGATTCATAACAGTAGCAACATTATAGTTATGAAGTAGCAACGAAAATAATTTTATGGTTGGGTCACAATATGAGGAACTGTATTTAAAGGGCCAGGAGGTTGAGAACCACTGCTCTAACAGCTTTAGTGTACAAATGAGATTAGGAGTCAGCAGGTCTTGGAGAGTGTCCGAACCTCAGCAGAGGTCCTGTTGCTAAGGACGGGATCAGTTATGAGCTCTGGGATTTACTTGGTGAGTAAACCAGTGTATTAGTTACCTATTGATGCTGTAAAACCTTACCACAAGTTTGGTGCTTGAAAGCAACAAAAATTTATTATCAGACAGTTCTGGAGGTCAGAAGTCCAAAATAGGTCCTCTGAGTTACTGTTTTGTTTTCTTTTTCTGGAGGCCCAAGGAAAGAATCAGTTTCCTTGCCTTTTGCAGCCCTTAAAGGCTGCCTGCATTCCTTGGTTCCTGGGTTCTCATCATTCTGATCTTTGCATCCATCATCACATCTCTGACTTTGATCCTCCGGCCTTCCTCTTGTAAGGACCTTGTGATTACAGTGAGCCCACGTGGATCACCCAGTAGACTCTCCCCATCTTATTATTCCTAATTCAGTGGCATCGGCAAAGTCCCTCATGCCACATAAGATAATGTAGTCACAGATTGGGAAATTCAACGTGGATGTCTTTGGGGGTATGGTTATTCTACCGACCACACCTGGTGTCAGAGGGTTTGGCTGATGTGCTTCTGTGTTGTGTTTTTATGACACAGTTGAATTGTGGCACTGGTAGCCAAAGGTGTTAATTTGTTTTAATATTGAAATTAATTTCTTTTCAGATTCATTGGGCAAGATCCATTTTGGTATCATCCATCAACAGACCTTCCCTTGGTATCAACAGACCTTCCCTGATGGATGACTTTGGGGAAGCAAATGGCACTTTTGCCATCAACTTATTAAAAATGTTGGGTGAAGAAGACAACTCACAGAATGTGTTCTTATCTCCCCTGAGCATCTCCTCTGCCCTGGCCATGGTCTTCATGGGGGCCAAAGGAGACACTGCAACCCAGATGTCCCAGGTAGGTGTGCCTGCCACAAAGGAAGAACAATGCATGGTTTTTTCTCTGCTTCCACAGGGCTGGTCTTTTCATATCTATCCCAGCTGATGAAAGCCAGTGTGGCTGGTAGGTGGGAAGGGGGACACTTGCTGATGGACAAAGGGCAGACATAGGTAGAGCAGGTAAATTATATAGGACAGGGAATCTCCTCTTAGTGTTTATGGGAGAAATCAAGTCCCAGATTATTTTCTGTGGATAAAGCATCAATATGCTACAGCAAAATTCTATCTTTGAGAAGTAAGGTAAATTATAATTTTGTCCCATAAGAAGGCCAAAAATTTAAGCATTATTATATTTTAACTTTTGCTAACACATTTCAAATGGAAACGTAGCTATGTGAATGCACTTTCTGTCAGACAAGTTATTTCTAATGTATGATTGTGCACAAGTGGAGGAAGAATGCACACAGATGTGGACTTTTATTATCCAGAGTCACTTAGAAGGAATATATGATCGGACTGATCTGATGGGGCTTCTGTGTGACCTCAGCGACACTGAAGTAGAGGATGATACCTTAGGGAAGGAGTCCTTAACCTCTTTGTGTCTTAGTATCTTTGATCGTCTTGTGAAAGCGACCCAGAAAATTGCTTATGCTCGTCACTTTGCCACTCATGTCAGGGTGTACAGAAGTGTGTCCACTGTCCGAATCTCTCTCCGTGGTGGTTTCATCCAGTTCATGGGAGGACTGAGGCTTTGGGCTGGGGTGTTGGTTGGGCTGGAGAACCTCTGTAAAATTGCTGGTGAGACATTTTCATGTTTATTTCTGCTCATTCTTGAAATTTTCCCAGGTCAGGCTAAGCTAGATCCATTCCAGCCACCTATTTGTTGTGTTCTCTCTCCCTCCTGAGTTTTCACATCCTGCCTTCCTGCAAAACACGGCGGGGGGACGGAGGGGGGGGGGCAGTTTGCAATGGAGGCAGTTTTGGTGGTTATAACTGAGAGATACTGCTGCCATCTAGTGGGTGGAGGCCAGAAATGCTGCAACATATCCTGGATGTACAGGACAGCCCCAACAACAAAGAAACTGCTCCAAAATGTCAGTAGTCCGAGGTTGAGAAAGCCTGTGCTGACTGGTGAAAGCAAACTCATTTCCAGATAGGATCCGCTGTGATTTTCAGCATGGAGATTTGTTCGGAGGAGCAAAATGGCAATGTTAAAAGTCTGTGTTTTCTCTTACCAGGCACTTTGTCTGAACAAGGCTGGTGATGTCCACCAAGGTTTCCAGGCACTTCTCTCGGACATTAACAGATCTGACACCCAGTACTTGCTCAGAACTGCCAACAGACTCTTTGGAGAAAAGACGTGTGATTTCCTTCCGGTACGTAGTACTCACATATTTTATTTATTTATTTATTTATTTATTTATTTATTTATTTATTTATTATTATTTTTAATCCTCACCTGAAGACATGCTTTTATTGCTTTTAGAGAGAAAGGGAGAGGGAGGGAGGCAGAGAGAGAGAAACATTGATGTGAGAGTGAAACATCAATAGATAACCTCCACACAAGCCCTGATTGGTGATTGTACTTGAAACCTGGGTATGTGCCCTGACCAGGAGTCGAACCTGTGACCTTTAGTTGTACTGGACAAGGCTCCAACCAACTGAGCCACATGGGCCAGCGCAGTAGTACTCACACATTGATTAGCAAGAAATTGAAAATAAAATAGAAACTTCAGAGGAACTGAGATAAAGTATAATTCTACTGCGTTAAACATTTGCTTAGAATTTTACCTCTGTAATTATAATTTTGAATTTTATGATGCCTTCTGAATTATGCCCTTTTTAAATTGTTTCTTATATATTCCTCCTGAACTTTAATCTCAATATGTCCATCCTCTGACATCCAGACTCTTTTCCTCTTGATCTGAGTAGTTCTTATTGATTTCAGTGTATAATTCCAGAGTTCCCTTGTCCAGTGAAAAAAAACCTGCCATGATTCAGTAAGTGAGGTCCAAAAATGCTGCTATGTAATATGCAGAGAGATGCTATCTTGAGATTTGGGAAATGGTCAGGATGAGCCTGGCCATCTTATTGGCTGGCAGTTCCCAGGATTCTTCTGTAGGACTCACATACATCCCTGCTGGTGGCATTACCCCGTGGAGGTTGCCTGCACTGGGCATAAAAATCACTGGAGATGATTCTGGATCTTTCAGCTGGCTAGGTCTTCTAGGATAAGCATGATTTCAGGAATCTACTGGTTAAACAATGTTCACTTTGAACATCAGCCTAATCTTTGAATATTGTAATTGGGGAATATTGGGGACACAGGGAACCACCTGCCACCTTTCTCAGTTGCTGGGCTCTTCTCTCTACATCTTCTTTCTTCTGTAGAAGCTAAACTATTTGAGAACAGGAGATGGGCGGAGGATAGGCACCCTCCAGGCACATTATATCTGAGACCAAGTTTTTGTGAGGTGAGTTATCGTTGGGTTTTAATATATTGGGTACAGGGCCTCCCTGATTTGATCCCACCTTACATTTCAAGGTTCAGCCCCTGCCCCTGTGTTTTTTTCCTCTAATCCCTTACATACACACACACCATACACACACACACACACACACACACACACACACACACGCGCATGCTGGGGTTCTTGTCCCAGCATCAAGAAAGGTTCAGGAATCTGGAAAAGGCTGTGCGTAGATGGCATAGGAATCCAGAGACTAATAAAGAGTCTGGAGACGAGATATAATTTTGAAAGGCATTGGGGGTCAGAGGACCTTCAGCCAAAGGAACTGAAGAGTCCCTCCTTGTCTAGGACCCTTGCTTTTATTCACACAATTTGTCCTAAGGCAAGGTAGAGATAATACACTTCAAAGGGTAAGGTTTCAAAGGGTACAGAAGCATTGTCAGTTTGGGGAATAGCCTACGGCTGTTCAGGTGTTTGGCCAGTAGGAGGCAATAACACGTAGATTAAGATGCCCTTTAACTGTCTGGCAGCCACAATCAGTTTCCTATTCAGGTTTGGGGAAATGCCTTTAGCCATTCCCAACAGGTGACTACATGTGTGCCTCAACCCTGTTGAGTCCCCAAGTCTCATCAACCTTTTGATGAAACTTAAAATTATGACATGCTGGAATTGGTCTACGGCACACACACATACACACACACATCTAGGACAGTCACATTCCACTCCTGGGAGACCTGTAAGATTTCTTAATAATCTAGTTCTGCCATGGAGCCTCCCAATCACTCCACAGATATGTTTCAGACCCTGGGGCTGGTACCAGTGATGCAAAAGTGAATCAAGAAAGTTAGAGTGCTTGGCGGGGAGGGAGACAGAAAAATCAAACAGAAATCAATATGCAGTTTAAGTGCTTGATGGGCATTCATGATGGGTTCTTTGGTGCATGCCTGCTACCCTTCATGTTCTCAAGACATCTTATAACTATCTGTGTGTATGTCATCTCTCTCACAGACGGAGCCATCTCTGGTCTCATGCCATGTCTTCACCCTGGTGTCCAGCACCCAGTGGGTGGTTTGTGCATTTTTGTTAATTGCATGAATGCGTGTTAACATGCAGGATGAGCTGTGCAAGCAGTTAGGCTAGAAACATGTTCAGAAAAAACAGATGTGTTCCCACCGTGGGGACCTTTGCTGCATGGGGCTGGACTCGGTATCTTGTTCTTTCAGGCCTTTAAGGAATCCTGCCAGAAGTTCTATCAGGCCGAGCTGGAGGAGCTGTCCTTTGCTAAAGACACCGAGGAATGCAGAAAGCACATCAACGACTGGGTGGCAGAAAAGACTGAAGGTGAGAGATTTCATTTCCGTGCACTTGGGAAGCTGCGAAGGAACAGGAGGTGAGAGGGCCTGGGCTGTGACCTCCACAGTATTGCCACTGGCACCCTGTAACCAGCGCGCGCGCACGCGCGTGTGCGTGTGAGTGTGTGTGTGTGTGTGTCTGTGTGTGTGCTCGCTGTGATTTCAGGCCAGCCATGCAGTTCTGTGATTTTTCTTGGGCTTATCAGATCCCAAAGCGGTGATTTCAAATAAAAACTTAAACCAGGTGTAAGGGTCTCAGACGCCTTCCCCCCTGGACTCTACTAGAAAATACCAGAAAAATGCATCCTCATGGGGCCCTGTTTTTCTACTATCTGGGAGGAGCCTTGCCCCACTCTGAGGACAGGATGACATCTGATTTAGGTGGCAGCTCAGATAGGGCCACCTTTCATATTATCTCCCTGTGGTAATGGAACATCTCTGGTTTCATCCTTGGCCTGCTCCTTCTTTGTCTCGAGGCTGTGGCTAAGTTTTCTTTTAGAGGGTGACGTTTTCTGAGTTTGCTCCAGATTCAGGAACTACAGCCTATGCGGAGCCTGCAAAGTCCCCTGTCCAAACCACGTTCCGTCTCAGCAGATATAGTTCCACCAGTTCCTGATTAGAGTGCAGAGAAAAGGGACATGCTTTTAAGCACTCTAAATAGCTAACATGTAGAGACTTCCAGAACATGGGGACTTCAGTCACTCATTTCTACGCGTGCCCACCCAGCACTCATCATTCCATCCATTCAATCTTTGTGGCATCCCTGCTGTCTCAGGCAGCAGCAACGATCACGGTTATACTGAGAGCCCATAAAATAATGACTGTTGGAAGGGAAGAGCCTTTCATGTTTTCTTAGTAAGTCACTAGCGAAGCCAGAAGCTTTGTACCTCACCTTCCTTCACCTATTGCGTCCCCTCCACAGCTGTTCACACCTTTCCTTCCATCAGGCTGGCCACCCATGTTTTTTTTCCAGAATATTAGAGCTGGGGGGACTTTGGGGATCACCTTGTCCCTACTTTCATTGAACAACAAGTTGGGCTTCTTCATTGCATCTCCCTAATTCCTTTGCTCCATTCACCCTGTTCAGGAAGCCTGCTTTCTCCCATGATCGGGCTGCATTTCCCATTCTTTGGAAGGCTCTCCTCCCCTCAGCAAATAATTATCTGGCCTAAAATGTCAACAGTGGCATGGTTGAGAAATTATGGTGCCAAGGTTGAGTGGCTTATAATTAAAATCAAATCTCTTGGATTATTTTCTCAGCCCAGTCACTTGCCATCTAGTGACCTTAGCAAAAAAGTCAGGCAAATGCTCTGAACCTGAATTTCTACATCTGTCAATTGAAGGCAAAATGATAGTTGACCTGCCCTTTTCAGGATTGCTGCTTAAGGACAGACAGTACTCAGTGTGGGTGCCCAGCCCAAAGCATCATCGCCCCGAGTCATCAAGCAACCGAAAAGACAGGATTCCAGCCTGGCTGTCAACCAAGCCTCAGTGTTCTATGTCAAGGGGATTTTTGTAAAAGAATATTTATTCTCCCCCAAATAGAAATACATTTCTCTCCTGCTCTTTATAGGTAAGATTTCGGAGATTTTGGGTGTTGGCACCGTTGATCCACTGACCAAACTGGTTCTGGTGAATGCGATCTACTTCAAAGGCAGGTGGAAGGAGCAGTTCGACAGAAAGCACACAAGGGGGATGCCTTTCAAAGTCAACCAGGTAGGGACAGCGACTTCAGATACACCGCTATTTTCTTAAAGTAGCACATTGGGAATAGTTGTGAATGGGAAAAATATCAATCATTTATTTCACACTATTTTGATTGTTGATCCATTTCTGAATGTATTTCATGCCTCCTGTATGTTATTGGAAAAAAAGAGGAGAAAAATGAAAATAATTTTTCTATTGATAGTTTCCCTTTTTCAGTTCTTGTTCAAAATGACCTTCTATCCCTGGTCACATTATTGTGATGGAAAGAAAATTTCTTCTAAACCTTGGAGTTATGCTTGTATTGTACTATCACTGCCTATATTTACTTAGACACCTCTTTAGTGTCATGGTAAACTGTGCCTATTGATTGCCTTAGAATCCATGGCTATGCAATTCTGAGCACAAGGAAAAAGTTGTTAACAGATGTTAAGGCTGAATATTTATTTTTAATTTTGGGGGAATCTTTTAAAAATAAAGATTGTATATATTCAAAGTGTACAAGATTATGATTTAATATGCATACTGAAAAGCTAACTAACATATCTCTCCGCATACTTACCTTCTTGTGTGTATAATGAGAGCCCTGAAATCTACTCTGTTAGCAATTATCCAGTATTCAGTACAGTTTTATTAACTACTAGAGGCCCAGCATGTGATTGAAATCACACAAGGAGGCGCCCCGCCTCCCCCTGTGCGAGGAGGCACCCCACGGGGTGTCGGGACCCACGCCTGACTCCTGCAGCGCTGGCCGCCATGGGAGTTAGGCTGGACTGGCGCCGCGGGAGGCCAGACCGGTGCCGCGGGGGGCTGGGGCAGCGCCTGACTTGCAGTGTCCCCCGGCCCCCCTGCCTGTGTCTGCTCTGGGGCCACCTGAGCCACTGCGCCGGCTCAGGCAAGCCCTCCTGCCTCTATCTTTGTCTCTGCTCCAGGTCTCACCTGCGCGCTCAACCTCCTCCTGTCTGGTCGTGACCTGTTATGGAGTCCTGGCCTAATTTGCATATCACCTCTCTCTCTCTCTCTCTCTCTCTCTCTCTCTCTATATATATATATATATATATATATATATATATATATATTCATCATGTTGTACATTAGGTATCCAGACTTATAAGTCGAACATTAAAAATACATCTCTCCATTCCTTTTGTGTATGATAATGGCTGGTGTCAATAGCTGTTAGCTTGGAATTTCACCTCCATCAACTTGACAATAGCACATTGCACAAAGATTTAAAAGTCTAGAGTATATTTGATGCAAGCTTTAAAAATGGTGAACCCTACACATCTTGTTAAGGTTCTCCCTTCAAGAAAATCAAAGCTGTATAATCAATTGTATAATTGAGCAACTTTTCAGAATAAAAGTCTAACTTCCTCTGGCCTATATATCTTCTCTAACCTAATCCTCCAGCCCAAAGACCTGAATATTAGTTAATTCTCCTCTAAACTTAGAAAAACAATTTTTAATTATAAGGTCTCTAGGAGTGCTTCTTTATGCATTTTCTCAAAAAAGAAAACCTAAACTTCTTTCAAAAATAATGAGAGAGTTTTATGTCTGTCCATATTTTACAATTTATTCTCTTATCTGGTTATAATTGATCTGCTGGGGCATGAGCATGTTTTACTCAATACTAATATGTAATAATGAGGATTTTGTATCTATCAGCATAAATGCATAGAAGTAATCATTCTCTTAAATGTACCTAGAGGTTCTGTGAATTAGACATATTTTTAGTGAACTGTGCTCATTTTTAAAAAATCTGATTTTAATTTCATGTTTTCATTAGGAAAAAAAGACAGTGCAGATGATGTTTAAGCATGATAAATTTAAAATGGGCTCTGTGGAGGAGGTGAAAAGCCAGGTCCTGGAGCTGCCCTATGTGGGGGAAGAGCTGAGCATGGTCATTCTGCTGCCTGATGAAGACATTGATCTTGCAGTGGTAAGCCCTTGGCGATGAGTCTGAGTGTCTGTGGATCTAGTCTTAGCTCCTTTCTTTAAGTCCATCCGTCAGATAGCATTTGAGGAGTTTTCAATTTGGAGTTATTACAAAGAGTCCTGGATGAACACTATTGCATGTCTTTGGTGGGGGTGTATATGCATTTCTGTTGAGTATATATCTAGGAATGGAATTGTGGGTAAGGACAAATGTTGAAGCTAAGGAGAGCTCCAAGAATTTAAAAGAATTATTCATTAATCTTAATTCTTTATTCTTTATTCTTAAGAGAGGGGCTAGTTGAGGGCCCAATAACTTTTGAATGAAAGTACTAGAAAAGGACAGGATTGATCTGGGCAGAGTTCCTCAAACATCCATGTGCATACAAATCTCCTAGGGATCTTATTACAATGAAGATTTTTGACTAGGGGCTATGGCCTGAGATTTTTTGCATTTCTAACAAGATTCCAGGTGATACAGGTGCTATTATTGGTCATGGACCACATTTTGAGTACAAGAGTACAGGTGAGCAGTGTATCTTAGACAGGAGCAGAGAGCCCTCTTCCCATGACAGAAAAGGAACAGAGTTCAGGAGGAAGGTAAATTTGTAAGATGGATGATACAGGATCAACAGTGTGCTGGCTGTCTGGATCCCTGGGTGATGGAAGAAGCCCTCATTTATAATATTTGCTGATTTCATGCAAATACTCCACTTGGCTAAGTTTAGATTACCAAGAATTTAACAATTGACTTTCGCCAGATATACAAGCCAGCTCCAGCATACCAATGCACAGGATGTTGAGGGTGGGGTCTGCCTGATTATTAAAATACTAGAGGCCAGGTGCATGAAAATTCCTGCACTGGAGTGGGGGGTCCCTCAACCCGGCCTGCCCCCTCTCACAGTCCGGGAGCCCTCAGGGGCAGGAGTCAACCTGGTGATCAGAGGAAGGCAATGGTCCCATCACACCTCTGCTGCTGCCACTGCTGGCAGCGCAAGTCTCAGCTGGCCCTGGTTACCTGAGCCTCAGGCGGTTCTGGGCAGCTGGGCAGCCACCATCTGAGGCTTGCCTGCGCCTCTGGCTGGCCCTGGGTGGCTGGACAGCCACCATCCGAGGCTTGCCTGTACCTTGGGCCGGCCCTGGGTGGTTGGGGGGATGAGGGGACTGGGGGACTCCAGAGGCAGGTGCGCAGCAAGGCCGGGCCCAGCAGTGCTTAGGGGACTAGGCACTGCCATCTTGTGGCTGTGGGCGCCGCCACCTTTGAGGTGGAACAGTCAATTAGCATATTCCTTCCTTATTGGCTGTGGGCACTGCAATCTTTGCAACGGAGTGAGGGTCAATTAGCATATTCCCTTTTTATTAGATAGGATATTAAATATATTTAAAAATTTTGAAATGAATTTGATATAGATGGTTTAAAAAAAACCCTCCCATTGTCTTAGGTGTTTTACTCTTGGTTCCACAAAACAGGGAAAAGATGAGAATTTGAGGGGAAATCTGGGTGTAAGGACAATCTTAGTAGATTGTCTTGGATCAGAACTAAGCATCTAGTTGCATGCTATGGGGGATGAGTAAAGGGGGGTGCACACCAGGCTATTGTCATCTAGATTTTAGGATTTGACTCTTCATTATTTCAGGTGGAAAAGGCACTTACATATGAGAAGTTCAGAGCCTGGACGGATCCGGAAAACATGAGTGAGATTAAAGTTCAAGTTTTTCTTCCCCGGTTAAAACTGGAGAAGAGCTATGACTTGGAGTCTTTTCTTCGAAGTTTAGGAATGACTGATGCTTTTGAGGAAGCCAAGGCAGACTTTTCTGGAATGTCAACTAAGAAGAATGTGCCCGTGTCCAAGGTTGCACACAAGTGCTTTGTAGAGGTCAATGAGGAAGGCACAGAGGCGGCTGCAGCCACTGCCGTGGTCAGGAATTCCCGGTGCTGCAGAATAGAGCCAAGATTTTGTGCAGACCACCCATTCCTTTTCTTCATCAGGCACCACAAAACCAACAGCATCTTGTTCTGCGGCAGGTTCTCTTCTCCATAAAGAGGTGCCATTGCTTACAGGTGCTCCTTTCCCTTCTGCCAACCTTGCCTTGATTCAGATTCTGTAGGACCAAATTGGTGCATGTGGTGGTATGAATGCCAAAATAAAGCGTTTGCACCTAGGATGTCTGTGAATGTCTTTACCAAATATTCCACGGCCGCTGAGAATAATTGAGACTTCAGATGGGTGGAGTTTGGGAAGGAGAAGGGTATGCTTGTTCTGAAATGTTTGGGGAGCTCTTCCCTCAAAGACTCTGCCCTCACCTACCTGCTATAAGATGGCCAGCAATCCTCAAAGTCTGTGCCCATTGTGGGTATCTTTAGGAACATGTCAAGGATTGACAAATCAGCCCTCCACATGCCCTTCCGTTCTGCAATGATCTCAAAGATCATTGAGGTGCCCACCACCATTGCCAGGCTCAGCTGGAGATGGCAGTGTCCAGGCCCCCTGCATACAAGGCCAGGGGTGGATGCTACAACCAGCACTAGCCACCTATGTCTCATAACAACTGAGACAGAGTGTCCCCCGGGCAGTATCACACAGGCAGCCTTGCATGTCCCATATCTCACACAGTCCCTTATGCAAATCACTCCTTCAAATCCTTTTGCCATAAACCTGATATGAGTTCAGGGGCTCAGCAGGTAGCTTCAGAAATGAGTTTGGAGCCAAATCTCTGAAACATGCCCAGTCCTCTCCATTTCCCTTGCTTCTGAAACATACACACAACCAGGAAAAAACCCACACCAAGCACTTCTTGGAAGCAATGACCCTCTAGTTAATCACACACAGCTCAAGCACCCCCCTTGTTAAAAAACATCTCCCTACATCATTTTTTCAGATTGAAAAAACACACTTTTAATCTGAACACTTTGGAAACTATAGAAAAGTATACAAAGAAAATGAGTCACTCACAGTTCCACTACCCAGCAATCACTACTGTTAACAATGATATATATCCTTCCCTGTTCTATGTATGCAAATAGAAGTTTATAAACCAACACAAGTTAATCATGCCCTTCTGTAGCTAATTTCTACCCTTACAACTATCTGCTTTTGATTTGCATTAACATATTTATAGTATTTTCTGCTCTAATACGTGTTGTTCTCTCTGTGCCCTTAATGTAGTTCCATCTATTTGTCTGTCCTTGAACGAGCTTTTTTTATTTTTATTTTTATTTTTATTTTTAATTAGGAAGGCTTTGTAGTATGTCTTAGTTATTTATCTCTGGAATAGAGAAATGCTGTCGATTTTTATAGTTTGATCTTAGATGTCTTTGGCTTCCTTATAAATCTTACTATTATGAGTCTCATCTATTTTCTTTTTATTTATTTTAATCATTGTGTTTTCTTATAAGATATTTTAAATTGTTTACTTTTTATCACTATTATCCTCTTTTATTTTCTTATTTAAAATGTCTGTTGTGCCTGGCTGGTATGACTCAGTGGTTGAGTATTGATCCATACACCGAGAGGTCACTGGTTTGATTCCCAGTCAGGTTGTGGGCTCGATCCCTAGTAGGGGGTCCCACAGGAGGCAACCGATGGATGTTTCTCTCTCATCAATGTTTCTATCTTTCTCTTCCTTTCCTTTCCTCTCTCTCAAAATCAATAAAAATATTTAAAAAAATGTCTGTTGCAACAGTTCTGCTTCAAATGTTTAGGTTGGTCAATTTCTTTTTTTTATTGTTGACACTATTACAGATATCCCACATTCCCCCTTCCCAGCCCCCAACCCCCATTTTGCTCACCTCAGTCAATTTATTTTAGAGTGTTTTTCATCCTCAAGTATCCAGTTTTTGGCCTGTGGGTTCAAGTTGACCTTGGGTTATCAGATATGTTCTGCTGATATGGGTTGAGTAAGGCTTAAAAGTCAGACCTTTTTTTTAATTTTTGTCTTTTTTTTAGTGACAGTCCTACCCAGTTTGATGACACACTTTCTGTCAGTCCATCAGGAAAACCTCATGGTCAGGGTTGAAGCAGTAATACTCAAAGGGAACCAAATTCTCACCTGTTAACTTCAACTCCTCACCCCTGCTAAGCTTTTAAAATGTACCAATATAACCTCAAGGATGCTAATACAGATGATATAGGCTATCGATACAGAGTTTTGTTCTGAAGGAACAAGGCCAGCAAGGCAGGAACTTAAGACATCTGGCCCAGCCTATCTTCTCTGTAGGCAGCAGGTGTCTCCTTTTCCAAATGGCAGCTGTGCACTGCTTGAGCACCAGAGTCCAAGCACCATTCTGCTTCCCATGGATGGCTTGGCTGTCTTGTTGCTTGGTGAGTCTTATCTTCTTGTTACTATTTGTTTTATTGATTAGTTCTCTTGTTTCTCTCCTGCCTTAATTTCTCTAAAGCTGAGTTTTGGGAAGAGAGTCAAACTCCTGCTTTGTGGCATCTTTGCAGGAAATGAAATCATCTTTTTAATGATGTTTGTGCTAATATGTCAAAGTAGAAAAAAAGTGTATTTTACCATATACTCATAGACCATTAATAAATTTGAATTACTCTTTAAAAATATAAATTATATTTTATAGTCTCTAGATTTAAAAAGAAAAGTCTGCAAATACAAAATCTTGTCAAAGATCAAGAGTAATTCTCATATAATGCTGGAGGGAGCAGAAATTGGTAAAACCACTTAGAAAAGGATTCTGGCATGACTTAGTAATGTTAAGCATTTGTATATACTATGACCAGATATTCCACTCCTGGCTAGAAACCCTAGAAAAACTCTATGTTCAAAAAGCATGCAAAATAATGCTCATAGCAACATTGTTCATCATAGCAAGAAAAAAAATGTAGAAATATAGAAAAAACACTGAATTATTAAAATGAATAAATCATGTTGCACTCGTGCAGAGGAAAGAATCAGGGTCATTGCCTTGCTCAGCTCTGGGGCACCATTCACATAGTCTTCACATTTCATACAGTACATAATGTTACTGGCGTTTTCTGGAGTTTGTACAAATTTGTGCAGAATACCATATATTAAGAAAAATTAACCATAGCTACCACTATAAAACACAATGCCAACCAAAAATAACAAGTATCAGTTGCATTCGCATAATGTTAAACAATAGGCAAACTGATTATTGTGCTATATATATAAGCTACAGAGGAAAGAACAAAGAAATTCATACAAAACATAGAATAATATTAAATCCAAGAAAGAATGTGATTAGCTAGGTCAGCAGGGAGCTTTAAAATTATTCATGATTCTCTGTTTCTTAAACTGGGTAGTGAATATTAGATAATTATTCAATCTACTATTAACTTTTAAGTATAGTATATATGTAAATTCATTGCATTATATGTATGATGCATTTAACAATGAAAAGAAATTTAATAAAAGAATGGATAAATCATGGTATGATATGATGTTTTGAGAACTACAATCAGCTAAGATAGAAAAAATAAAATATTGCAAATTTAATAATAAAACTAAATGTAACTTTCCTGTTAAAAGACAAAGAAAAACGTTTAGATTGGAGATGAAAAACAGTATTTTGCCAAATGTGATTTCAATTAGCATTTCTCAAACAAAGTGACACAAAATATGTACGTGAACTGAGAGGTAAAGATGTATCAGGCAAATTTAAAAGGACAGCAGTAGTCAAGCTATTAATAATATCAGAACAAGTAGACTTTAAGGAAATTAATAAAAATGGAGAAATGCTATCATTTGATATAGAAAAGGGCATGATTCATAGGAAAGGTAAAATTTTCAAACTGTACAGATGAACATAGAAAAAATAAATCATAAAAGTTGGATGAAAAGTTCAATATTACACTGTACTTTACACTAAGACCCATTTTTGTACACCTTTATACCTCTGAAATTAAGATATGTCTTGATGTAACTTTTATTGCCCATACATGCTTGCATTTAGTCATAGATGCCTATAATTTTTTCCCACTTTAAGTTATCATTGGTGATATATGTGTTAAGTATAGTTGTCATTATTTTTAAGGTTATATTATTATTTGACATTGAGAAAATTATTGTGAATATCAAAAATTATTGAAATGAAATTGATGTGGAATTTGATATTAGAGAAGCAAACACTTTATATTTGGAGGAACTAGTGCATTTTTCTATTTTCTTGCAAAGCAGTGGCATGATTTATAGGAGCAGCAAAACAGACAAGCAGCAAAAGTTGTGCTAAAGGATGACCAATCACATACCAACAGCAGAATCTGCAGAAAGGGTATTAGCCACTTGGAAGAAAATCCCAGAGACAATAGTGCTGTGTTTGCTCCTGTTTGGTGGTGTTTGGTGATATCCACATAGCAAAGCTCTTGATGGCATAATCAATACACAGTGATGTGATGAAAAACATGAACATCCATAGTTTATGCCCCATGATGATGAAAAAGACTCAGACTCTAAATATGTTCTAAGGTTATTTTGAAGTATATATTGCAAATATTTAATTATGAACAATAATAAGGCATATTAAAATATATATCTAAGTACATAAAAGAACTCTCTCTCTCTCTCTCTCTCTCTCTCTCTCTCTATATATATATATATATATAATAATAAAAATTTAAGTGAAAGAAAGTATCATATCATAATTCAATTGGTAGAGCTTTCATTTCCTTAGTGGTACATGAAATAATAATGCATTTCAGAACTGAGGTCATTTTAGAATTGATGAAATGGGGTATAGTTTATTGGTTTTTTTCTTCTCTTACTATCTAGAATGCATGTGCATTGAGTGTTGGACCCTACACTCAACTTCTCTCTATTTTCCCTTCTTAAATTTTAAAATATATCTTGAGCTTTTTCTCCTAGTTCCTTTATTGATTAGGGAGGCAATAATGTGGTATTTTTTTGCCTTTTGATCATTCCTTTTTTTTCATATCAGTGTGTGTGTTTGTCTATGTGTGTGTAAGCATGTGTAATAACTTCTAGAATTAGCTAAAGATATTAATGAAGGTTTTTCATGTTTTTACCTAAATTGTTTCTTCCAGATCAACTCTGCTGAGTGTCAATATTTGTCCTGTAGTAAACCAATGAATAAAAGGTTTTACATTGAGGAGAAATATATTTAAATTTGTAATTTATAAAGATTATTTGGACTACTATATGGGGAATGAAATAAAGGGACCAAAAATAGGAACAAGAAGCCCAACTGGAGGATTATTTGATAGCCTTGACAACAGATGAGGCCTGTTCACACTGGATTGGTAGAGAAATATATGTAGGGAAGGGAATGTGGTGGAGTCATCTTTTAAAGAAGAAATCAGAGGTCCAAGTGTTGGACAGAATGTGTCAACATACATGTGGGGTTGGTGTGGAGAAGTAAAGTTATTGAAGGGTTGGGATGAGCAAAGGAATGGAAGGAGATGTGTTTCCTGCAATAAGGGACAGCTGAAGGGGATCAGGAGTAAGAATTTTTAGGTGAGATGGAGACCAAGAGTCCCATCTTGAACTTGTTAACATTGAGATTCCACCATTTTATTTCATGAAGACAGCTTCATAGGTGGGTCTGGAGCCTAGAAGACTGTTTCAGCTGGAGGAGAGACCATGGGAGAGGCCGGGAAAGCAGGAGACCTGGGAAGAGAGTGTGCATTGAGTGTCCTTGGGACATCCTTCCTTATGCCAGTTATCTCAGTCTTGCCATGCTAGACTCTTCTCTCCTTGATGGTGTGAGCCCATTTCATAAATAACACATCCGATTTCTGCTGCATATGCCAGTACACTAGATTCTGCAGAAGATCTTTCTCCAGTTGTGTTTCTCGGAGTATTTTTCATGCTGCTTCTTTCCCTTTGATCTGAAGTTGTTTTGCTCTATATGCTCCATGCTTTTTAAAATGTTTTTTCACATTTTTAAAAAAATGTATAATCTGTTTATCTGAAAGGCAGATTAAGCTACAGAGCTCCTAATCCTTGACAAGTTTCTAAAAGGTAAATTGTCCAAATGTCTCACCTATTGACTGATCCTCAGGACCTCTCATACTGAGCAGTGTTTAAAGTTTTTAATTTTTTTAAAATTTTATTTATTTATTTATTTATTTATTTATTTACTTTTTGGGTTTTCTATCTTTCCTTTGATTCATAATATTTAATTCTATGAGCGTCAGTTTTTAGGATGCACCACGCCTTCTCTAACCTTTTTGCCCAAGATTTTTCTGGGATTTACAGTCTTTGTCTCTATCATGTCAGATAATGGCAGGCTGGATCTGCAGCTGAGGGGGTGGTAGTCTATGGTAGTGATGTGCCTTCCAGCAAGTCTATGTGAGCAGAACACAGAATGGATCAAAGACAACAAGACAAATACGAGGCCCAGCAACTAGTGACCTTGAACTTCAGTAACTAGGCAAAGGTAAGTTTTTAGGTTGAAGACTTCAAAAATTGGCTCTGCAGAAGCAGAGAAGGTAGTTGCTAACAATTCAGAAGTCACTAACTAGTTATATGACCTTGAACAAGTAACTTAAAGTCCTTTGGGTTCAGCATCTCCTCCTTTGTAACATTAAAGGATTTGTCCAGATGATCCCTAAGTGGCTTCCAGCTCTAACGTTCTCTAACAAATGTGCAGCACCAGGCTATCTGGGGCCAGCCCCTTTACTTTCTGCCTTGTGAGTTTTCATTTTGTTACAAGCTTTTGTTATTTCAAAGATAACTTTTGTTGTTAGAAATCTAAGTATGCTCTCGTGTGCTTGTTATATCGATAACCTTTTTCATTTCAGTTCAAGACTTTGATGACAGTTGCCAGGGAGAGCATTGCCAAATAAAATCATGCGTTCTTGTTCTAACATTTGTTTCATCTTCATCTTTTGTCAGCGGAAATATTGCTATTTGTCATTTTAACATTTTTCAGTGACACTTCTTCCCTCACTCGGGGCCTTTGAAGATTTTCTCATCAGAATTAAAGCCTCCGCTAATAGTTCTCAGGGCTGCTGCTTGTGCCCCAGAAAGAGGTTTAGGCAAACCTGCTTGTGCTAACCAAGGTCTCTGGGCAATCTCCTCTCCTCCCCATAAAGAGAGCCAACATTCAATTAGGGGACCACAATTTGGAGGAAACAACTCCCTTAAGGCTTGGTGGCTTCTGTAGCCTTCCTGATGCTGATTGGAAGTTGGCTTATTTATATTCCAGACCCTCTATGCCTCTTCCCCAGGAGAGGGAGGCCTGGGAGCCCTGGAGGTGGGTGTGGGAATAGCTGACCTGGTTATCCCTTCCTGAGAAGCATAGCTGGCGAAACACCATAAAGTCCTTCAGCAGGGAGAGGCCTCGCTTATCCAGTGGGTCAGAGAGCTTTCCTGAAGGCACACCAAGAAAGCGTTCAAGTGGAATCAGGGCACAATGTAGGCGCGTTTTCTGAGAAACAGGTTTGAAACCAGGTTTTCTTTTCTAGCTTGAAATCAAGATTGTTCTGGTTGACATCAGGTTTGTTCTAGAAAGCCCAGAATCTCTGATACTTCTGTTTTCAGGGGAGGTTGAAGGTTGATTTCCATATGTTTAGGTAGACACCAAAGAGAAATACCAATGGTGATGAGTGGAAGGGATACACATTGTTATTGCTAAGACTGACAAGTGATGGAGACCGGTTTGTTGGAAAGTCACAGTTTTGATATTTGAATGAGTCTAAACACCACTCTTTCTTTTATAATATCTAAGACCTATAGAGCTTGTATGGCTTGCCCAGCACCCTGCACATAACCTTACATATTTTATAAATTTATTAACTGTTTTGAATGAGTGTTCTGGAGCACAAATCTTGTTGGTGGCAGTCCTGAATGATGGGTGTGGAAGAAGGGGAGGCATGAGACTCTACTGGTACTTGTACATAGTATTTCAGCTGTAGTGAACGGGGTACTTTGGTGAATATCCCACATGGCTTCGTGTCCTCGTGCCCATGGGTATCAGTTAAACAGGGGGCCTACTCTCTGTTTCTTTTCATCATGTGGAGCATCTTGCAACCCGGATAACTCAGGTGGTTCCAGATAAATGTAAGACAAGAGGTGCCCAGCTATCTGAATGTGATCACAGATCCACTGTCTGGCCTTCCCTCATACCGATGAGGTTAGGTTTCCCATTTTAGAGATGGAGGAACAATGTATTAATGAGAGATTTTAAATAATGCGCTGCAAATTGTACACCTAATAGTCAGCAAAGAAAGATTTAACCTTTTGGGTTGAACCTCCCACTGGTACTTCTCATGATTAGAAGCTGCCTCTGTAGAATGCTGACACCACACTGCTCAACACCTGCCTCCCCCTTATTTTTAAAGGATAAGCAAAATTACTTATGTTCATTTCTGTACTAATCTTGGTGGCCTCAATGGAATTTCTTATTGGACTCTGAGTCTGCACTAGAGACAAAATTTGTGTTTCAGAAGAACTGGTTGTAATTATAATTTTAAAAATTCCACCCACTTAGGGCCAGATCACAGATAGGCTGGTCACATTAACCATTCTCCCAGGTTGTAATTTCTCTCAGATGTTTAAAAACCAGACTGAAAACATTTCTAACATGATACCACTTGGTGTCGCTGTTAGCCTGTTGACCAAATAATGATTTCCTTTCAGTTTATATATATTCTAAACAAATGACAACTTGTTTATTTTAAAGAAATACTTTTGGGCTAAGCTGAAATAGATCTATCAGAGTTCAACTAAATGTCTTACTTTTTAATATTATTTTTCAAAACATTGGGTTTATTTCAGTAGACACATTTCTGAACAAATAGATCTTCTCTAATTAAGACTAAAAAGCCTTGGTTATTGCATCCAAGTCATCTCAGTGTATTGAGCAGAAATAAAAGGACCAGAAGGAAATTCTTAAAAATGTTGTCAAAGCCAAATCAATGCAAAGTGAGTTGGAATATTTAGAGTTGATTTTTTCCAACTAGTAATTTGATTATTAGTACTGTTCTAGTTTTTATGATGCTGAAGATGTAAGCATGTGGGTCCACTGAGGTGGGTAAAAAAAAATATTGATTGAGTACTTATCATGTGAATATTTTTGTTAAGTGATTTGCATTTATAAAGTCTAATCATCATCATTATGACCATTTTAATTCTTTAATATTATGCAGTTAACAAAGCACTTATTTTAATGACTCCCATTAGGCAGAGGGAAAATGTCAAAAAATACTCAGGGAAACCAGAAACAAAGAAGACACAGGAGAAACATCCATGAGTTACACTCCCTATTATTATGGATTTATAAAAGTGTACCCAAGTTCATTAGACACATCTTTTTTTTTTTTTTAAATGTATTTTATTGATTTTTTACAGAGAGGAAGGGAGAGGGATAGAGAGCCGGAAACATCAATGAGAGAGAAACATCGATCAGCTGCCTCCTGCACGACCCCCACTGGGGATGTGCCCGCAACCAAGGTACGTGCCCTTGACCGGAATCGAACCCGGGACCCTTGAGTCCGCAGGCCGACGCTCTATCCACTGAGCCAAACTGGTTCTGGCCATTAGACACATCTTGATATTTGACTGCACATTGTTCGTAGTACTTGCTTAATTCATCATATTTCTTCATGGTTAAAATATATATATTAATAATGAAGACAAAAAGAAAAAGAAAACTGTCTCCAGTTTTTCAAGTCTAAGGATTATAACCTTTATTTAAGAGCAAATACCAGCTGGGTGAAAAGTCAAGGCCAACCAACATGCATGAAGGTCAACTACATCATGATTACCAAATCTTTATGTAAGTACTGATTTCGCCTTGAGGTCATACCTGCATAGCAAGCTACCTAGTCTTTGAGAGTGTTTGGAGGTATTTCAAACTCAGCATATTTCAAAGTAAAGACATTTTCCATCCCTATATCAGCTGCATCCCAACCAACCCCATCTTATTTGCCGCCTGCGACTCCAAGAGAACCATCATCCACCCCATTCTTCAAGCCAGAAAGCCTGGACGTTATCCTGGACTTCCCTTTTCTCCTGTCTCTTATATCCAGTCACTCATGTCTTCCTGTTTGTCCTCTGGATACTGATATCTCTGACAATTTGTCTTCATTTCTGCATACCCTAGTTCAAGTTCTCATCATCTCTTTCACAGAAAAGGACTATTTCCTAACTCTTGCTCCAGTTTTTTCTCTTCTCTGTCCTCTAGATTGTTGCCAGAACCAGCCAAGAAAATCTAATCAAGTCACACTTGTGCTCAGAATTTCCCAGTAGCTAACCATTAACTAGAGGTTAAAATCAGAAAGCACTTAGTATCTGCTCCCTGTGTAATATTACAGTACTCTGTTATGATTTATGCTATGGCCACACTGAACTACCCAAAAAGTCCTCAAGGAATTTTGAATTTAAGTGTGATTTGATGGAGAATAGACTTGCACCTCAACCCCGCCAATTGCCACACCACTAAAACTTTATTTTGGGGGGAGCTTTGGAAATTTGAGTTGGCTAAAAAATCCTCAAAAATGAATGATTAAGTAAATATGTGAATGCATGTGAAATGATTTGGGAGTATTAAGATTTATTAGTTTATACATAAATTTTTAGTTAGCCAGCTATGCAGCTTCTCTATACAGAGATGAATCCTCTGTCTAGAGCAGGGGTGGGCAAACTTTTTGACTCGAGGGCCACAATGGGTTCTTAAACTGGACCGGAGGGCTGGAACAAAAGCATGGATGGAGTGTTTGTGTGAACTAATATAAATTCAAAGTAAACATCATTACATAAAAGGATACTGTCTTTTTTTTTTTTTTTTAGTTTTATTCACTTCAAACAGGCCCGATCCGGCCCGTGAGCTGTAGTTTGCCCACGGCTGGTCTAGAGTCTGGGGTATGGCAAGAGGACCCTGTAGGTACCCTGCACTTTCTTCACAAGGTAGCTTAGGGCCATTGCCGGGAGGAAATCTGTGTAATTCTGGCTGCTATAGGTAGCTGGATAACCTTGGTTAAGTTATTCTACTTCAGTTTCTCCTAAGCAAAGTTAAAATAGCAACATTAACCTACCCCCCGCAGGCATGTTAATAAGTGCATTTTCCCCCAAAGTGCAATGTACGAATTTTCATTAGTCATAGGGCTACGATAATAGTTAATTGTCTCTAGTTCTGCTTGTTATTTACTGCTCACTCAAGCAAAAGATGCTACTGAAGGGACTGAGGGGGAAAAGTTGCAAAAGATGCTGATATGCCAAATAAGTTGCCAAGGTAATAAAAAATGTAATCAAGACTGCAGAAGACCTTCTGATTTCCATCCCAAGCAATCATTAGAGATTCTATTGCAAACTAATTTTCTTATCTCTTATCTCCAAGTCAGCTCCTCTGCCAAGGACTTAAGGACTCAATTTATCATCTCCCTTAACAGGTACCTTGGCTGCCAGTGTGCCTTGGCTCTGGATCTACCCAAATGATTTAAAGCAAAATTGATTCTGACTCACAGTATATATGCTCTGGGTTTTAAATGCAAATGCATAAATGCTGAAGTAATAGACGATGCAACACTTATACTGTGGATATACAACTTTTGCTCTCCCAAGCTCCTCTTCCGAATGACTAATATTATCTCTAGAATCAACCAAAATGCATCAAATATTCTCTTTTTTTCTCTTATCAGGATATGAGAAGAAAAAGATAAGACAAAGGAAACATAGCATGAAGAGTCTTCAGAACATCAAATATCAAAGCAGCTTAGCAAGGTTTTTATGTAGGTTACTGTCTATTTCAACACTATGAAGATAATTTTCCCAAACCTGCCACAGTCTGACTCCTCTCAAGGCTGGGCCCAGGGTGCATGGAGTCAAGTCCGGACACAGACATTGCCTTTGCCAGTAATTGCAGAGTTGAGGGGAGGACAGTTCCCAGCAGGCCTTGGGCATGGTTCTAGTGAATAATTCATCAGGATGGCCACTGGCTGGGGAATATCCTTCTTCCACTGATTACTTGCTTTTTATCCACACATTTATCTTCATTAAAGACTTTGTTTCCTCTCTAATACTTGTCTCTAATTTTTCCCACTTAAAGCTATTTTTTTTCTCCTGGCTTTGAGTTTTTAGATACACTCTTTCTTTCTTTCTCTTTCTTTCTCTTTCTTTCTTTTTCTTTCTTTCTCTTTCTTTCTTTCTTTCTTTCTTTCTTTCTTTCTTTCTTTCTTTCTTTCTTTCTTTCTTTCTTTCTTTCTTTCTTTCTTTTCTTTCTTTCTTTCTTTCTTTCTTTCTTTCTTTCTTTCTTTCTTTCTTTCTTTCTTTCTTTCTTTCTTTCTTCCTTCCTTCCTTCCTTCCTTCCTTCCTTTCTTTCTTTCGCTCTTTCTTCTTTCTTTTTTTCCCATACTAGTACTAACCACAAATTTCCAATACAATGAAAGCTTAAATCCTCAGATTACTTTCACTATTGAGATTTAACCAAATGTCACAATGTTGGGTCCCGACATCATTACTATAGGGTACAGACTAATGGAAATTAGACTTCCAATAACTATTCTGACCCTTCACTAGAGATTTCTTTTATGTGAAGATAATGATCAGTCTTTCCTTGCCAAGGGCAGGTTTCAACGTACATAGCTAAACTTCTAAACAAGTCATTCAAAGTAATTTTTCAAGTGAATGTTTGATTTTTTACATTCCAAATTTATAAAAATATATATGTTCTTAGTCAATGTAAATTTTATTTTCCTTCTCTCTGCATTTCAGTTGTATTGAGGGGAAAAAAATAAAGGTTTTTTTATATTGTGTGTTTTTTTTAAACAAATATAAGCTCATGATTATTATGAATCTGGTACCATGATCTTTTTGCATGTACTGCATTCTAACCTTATGATTTTATTAATAATTAATATAATTCATGAAAAAATTCCCCCCTGGCAATTTCTGAGTTCATTCTTTCTGATCTTTTCCTGAAGCTGGACACCATGCTGCCAGTATCTGATCTATTATAAGAGTTTTGAAATGCCATTTTAAGTTAATTAAGTTTATTGACTAACTAGAGACCTGGTGCACAAAATTCGTGCACTGGGTGGGGGGGGGGAGGGCATTGTACCTCAGCCCAGCCTGCACCCTCTCCAATCTGGGAAATCCCTCTTACAATCCAGGACTGCTGGCTCCCAACCACTCGCCTGCCTGCCTGCCTGATTGCCCCTAACCACTTCTGCCTGCCAGCCTGATCACCCCCTAACCACTCCCCTGCCAACCTGATCAATGCCTAACTGCTCTCCTGATGGCCTGATCACCCCCACTGCCCTCCCTTGCTGGCCTGGTCGCCACCAACTGCCCTTCCCTGCAGGCCCGGTCATCCCTAACTGCCCTACCCTGCCGGCCATCTTGTGATGACATGGGGGTGGCCATCATGTGACCACATGGGTGCGGCCATCTTGTGACCACATGGGGGTGGCCATCATGTGACCACATGGGTGTGGCTATCTTGTGATCACATGGGGGTGGCAGTGATGGCTAATGTGCATATTACCTCTTTATTATATAGGATTTATTATATAGGATTTCCTTAATAGCCTAGGGCCATGGTCGGCAAACTGCGGCTCGAGAGCCACATGTGACTCTTTGGCCCCTTGAGTGTGGCTCTTCCTCAGCCTTGGGAGTACCCTAATTGAGTTAATAGCAATGTACCTACCTATATAGTTTAAGTTTAAAAAATTTGGCTCTCAAAAGAAATTTCAATTGTTGTACTGTTGATATTTGGCTCTGTTGACTAATGAGTTTGCTGACCACTGGCCTAGGGCATTTGTCATTCAGACCTATTGCTTAATATATGTCCATTTCCCCCCCAATAATTTTCCCACTTATTCTTTGTAAATAGCAATTTTTACACAGTCTTTATTAGTTTCTAATTGTTCAAATTTATTTTCTTTATTATACCTGCTAAAGACCAATTTTAAAAAGAATTCATTTTCCCTGCTATTTGAGAACTGATGTTCTTTGTTTTTTACAGGATTTACATTATTCCAGTATATATTGCCTTTGGTTTTGGGAACAGCTAAAAAATCCTTTGTTTGTATTTAGCATATTCCATAAAAACTAAAATTAGGCATTTTGAGAAAAAAGATTTTTTCTTCATTATGAGTTATATAATAACATTTCATCTAAATCTTATTAAATAAAACTTTCAACAGTTTTAGCTACTGAAGCTCGTAACTCACTCAGCTTTTGTTTTTAACACATCTTACTGCCAGTCAGATCAGAATGCTTTATGCTCACATTCACACTAGGAGATTTTCTTGTCACCTACCTCAGAAAATTTGATCCTAAGTAATGACATTTTAATTCTTTAAAAGTGACTTAGGCAATTATTGTAATGGAAAGTTTTTAGTCTTTTGTATTTAACATTTTTTTTCACCTGTAGCTTTTGTCTCTATCTTAATATTTGCATTGAAATGTTTAAAATCAGATGTTTTAGCCCTGGCAGGTTTTGCTCAGGGGTTAGAGTGTCGGTCCTTGCACTGAAGGGTCATGAGTTCAATTCCAGTCAAAGGCATGTACCTTGGTTGCATCCCTGGCCAGGTTCAATCCCTGCCCCCCTGTGGCCACTTGCAGGAGGCAACCAATCAATATGTCTCTCTCGTGTCAATGTTTCTCTCTGTTTCTCTCTCTCCCTCCCTTCCACCCTCTCTAGAAATCTATGGGGGAAAATCCTCTAGTGAGGATTACCAACAACAAAAAAATCAAATATTTTAAATTTAATATGTATCCACAAAATTGTGTTTCTAGCGCCCCCCCCTTCTCTTATGAGTTTGTACAGGATAGCGGGCAGAGTCTGAATACAAAAGTCTGACTTTCACATATGAAGTAGCAGTCTCCAGAAAACCCTATTATGTCCGAGTGTAGTCAATAAGGTTTACAATAGTGCTAAACATGATGTCACACCTCAGAAGTTTAAAAACAGAACACACAATTATAAAACAAAAAGTATCCTTTTCAACTATGTTAATTTCTATCTCTCAGAAACTATGCAAAGGGAATTGGGCCACTCCCAAACTGCTCTTCTTTCCACTTTCCAATTTCAAGTGTAGCTGATGGATGAATTTCCTTCCCTCGTGGGACACCAGAGTCCCTCCCTTTTGGCTGCAAGTCAAATGCAGGTCTCTCCTGGTGCCTTTTGTCAGAACATCAGGCCCCCTCCATTTCTATTTTCACCCCCTGATTTAAGCTTGTCCCCCTTGCCCATGCCGCCTCCTCCCTCCCCTCCCATCAGCTCCCTGGGCTCCCTCCTGTTTCTTCCTCGTGTTCTTACTCCCACAGCCCCTCTGGCAGGCGGGTGTCCAACCTTCCATCTGGAGGAGCAGATTCTGCTTTTCTCACAGTTTCTCTCAGAATTGACAGTTTCACTGAACACAAACAAAAAGCCCCAAACTAAAACCAAAACAAATAAATAAAACACTATCTCGCTTTCTCTGTCATCCACTCAACAGCTGCTCAAGACTCAACATTTTGATGTGATTGAAAAGCTTCAAATCCCAATTCTTTAGGTTGACACAGTCCCCAGGACACGTAGTCAGAATCCTGAGGGCACATGAGGCTGTCAGAGTGTGGCCGGCTGCATTGAGGGTATGACTCTGTCCCCCCTCGATGTCATCTGTTGGTCTACTCTCATCATTCTGTTATTTTTGTGGAGCTGCTGAAGCTACTAGTGGATAGTGATGGACTGTTCTCCTCACAGATTTTCAGATGAACTCTCATTTCTTCTTCTTTAATTTCTTGTGTCTGTTCCCAGCCCACAGTGTCTTCTTTTCATTCTCCTGACACCTTTCAGAGCCTTGGAGTTCCTGAGGATAGGTTGGTCTATGATGGTGTGACGTCTATGATGGTTGGTTACTACCTGGCTTCCAGCTAGACATTCCCACATTGCTTCCAAATTGTGGAACGAGAAACCCTGGCTGAAACTTTACAATCATGTACGACACATCAGAAGCATTTCATCCGGGCTCAGAAAGCCTAGGTGACGAGGAGTGTGTCCTCACTCAAGAGCGTGGAGGTTTCACTCTTCTGATCGAGGTAGTGCAACTTGGCCCTTCGGGTCTCAGTGCTTCTCACGTGGAATCAGAGTGATTTGTAGTGAGGCCAGCCCTCCTCTGACGGTGTGGAAGGACTGTGTGGTCTGTGAAAGTGTGAATCCCCATTTGATTGTAAAAAGCATGCCTAGGGTGGCTTACAGGGAAAACTTTTGGATTGCTATTAATATCTTAGAGTGTTTGGCAGATGCGTTATTTCCATAGACACCACAGGCAGAAAGTGGGTTAGGTACTCTTTCATGAACACACTGGATGCTAATGCTGTTCTAAAATAGGGAAGAAGTGTTTGTGATGAGTTAAAAACAAGTACAGGATGCAGGAGCTAATGCTAAGAGAAACCAGTGTATAGTGGAGTAGGGAGCTGATCTCCATAGAAAATAGGACCTGCTCTGGGTGTTACAGGAAAGCCCAAATTAGTTCTAAAACATGATGTCTTGGAGAAACATAGTCAGGCTGAAATTAGGATGTGTGGTGGTCTACTGGGGGCTACTGGAAAGGGGGTTATTTTGACTGTCCATCACCTCCAAACCTTCCTCCACCCACATGCTTTCCCCACCTTTGGTCAGATAATTCTAACATTCAGTGAGAGGAACCAGAATGACCTCTTGAACCCAATAAAGGTGCTCCTGCATAAGTGCACTCCCTCCTCCTCTCCATATTCCTAGGGAAGGTTTACCTCTTGATACAAAATGTGGCTCATAGCCAAGTTCTATGTAATCCAGTCACCCTGGTATTTAGGCCACACCTCAAAGAACAGCTGAGTGTGTAAGCCAAGGCTATCAAGATTCTAGAACGCTTTGGCACTGGGTCATGCCCATGTTGGCATGGAGTGACAATATTGGAGCATCACACTGAGGAAGAAGGATCATTCTCTCTTTAGCATCTAGAAAACTCTTTCTAGGCCAGAAATTTAGTGAGTCCTCAGTCACTGAAGCTCCTGAAACTAGCAGCCACACATGTCAGCAATGGCTATAATTGAGGAGCACATGAGCCTGCAGCATTGAGCATGCTTTTCACTTTTTCTCTTTGCAGGGGCACCAGTCAAACTGAACCTTTGCATTTAAAGGAACCCAGGGAAGGTGTCCATTGTCTAGGAAAGAAAAGAAGACATTGTTACAAAGTGGGAACTGGACTGCAGAAATACTTAATCAAAGTAGTAAATGGGTGACAATTTATTGTACTGCTCAAGACATTTGAGGGAGTAAGTCATTAAAATAACTTATTCCTTATAGCTTTCTTCTTGTGTAGTGCTTGCAAAAAAAAAGAAAAAGAAAAAAAAGAAATCATCCTATTGTTTTATGAAATAATATGTGAGGTTTTATTTCAATATTTTGTGCTAGCAAATTCACATATCTTTGCACTGAACCTGCCTTACCAAAATATTTATTAATGTAGATTATTAAATGAAATTGATAAGTTAGTTCTTTTTACAAATGAATAACAAAATACAGACACTGGCAAAAGGGAACATTTATAGCTTCAGTCATTGCTTAATCTAGATTCTCAATGGGTTTCATCAGAGTTCAGTTTTTCTCCATTTCTGGGCTCTGCCTTCAATTGGGTAACCTTCATTCTTCGATTTCACATGGTGGCCCCCAACATTTCTAGGCTCATATATTTCCATATTGAAGTCTTGCATACAGATGCAAAAACTTAATCATTTTCTGATAGTCTTTTTAAAAAAGCCTTATAGGGGAGATGTGGTTTTCTTCAGAAAATTCAGGCATGATTCCCACCCATCACTGCTTTGTAGAATGCACAAATTGGATAGCAGTATCGAGAAAAGTGGGAGTTACTAAAAATACAAGATTCAGCCCTTTCCCTGAAAACCATATGCCTTCTTCACTCAGTCAGAATTAGTCAGGTGCCTGTCTTTTCAATTTGGTATCACATCAGCACATAGGTATGAGGGGAAAAATAAAAGAAAAATAACTTTACAAGTGTACAAAAACACACAACTAAACTAACTGGAGCAGGGGTGAGAAAGAAGGTGAAGTTAAAATCCCCTAACTAGGTCCTCAGTCCTGGAGGCCAGTTGCTCTGGACTCAGTGGTCCCAGCCCTGTGTGCTCTGCCCCAGGCTGGGGGTGAGGAAGCTTTTGGAAACTTCTCTTCAGGCTCAACACATCTGCCTGCTTGAGGGCGCCAGGTCTGGGGAAGTGGCATTGACAGGCTCTTCTTACCCGCCTCAGTATTAGGAGCGTGGTCGTGATGCAGGGAAGCCACGAGCTTGTTGCCCCAGGAGGAGCCCTGTCTTTGTGGCTTTGATCACCTATGAGGCAGCCTTGATGGTAGTAGCTTTTATTTGACTGTTCATTAGAAATTGAGATGCATTTATGAACAGGCATCTCTCACTGTGGGTGAGTGATGGGAACAGATGGACCCCACAGAAATGAAGATTTATTTTTCATGTGACTGTCTTTAGCTGTTAAGTATAAAGGGAACACTAGAGGAAGAGCACATTGGGGAGAACGAGGCTGTGCTTTCTCTCTCCTGGACCCCTCCCACAGGCTGGAGGATATGCTGAGTGCAGGGGCTGCCTTGTCTGCTGATTTCTGTCCTAACTTGTAGAAAGAGGTGTCAAGTCTGGGAACTCCGTGGACTGCAGGGAATAGCACAGACCCAGGGAACTGGCAGGCAATGCTGACTTGCTCTATGACCTTGAATAAAACCCATGTCCCCTCAGGGTCTATGTCTATATATATATTGACTAAGTGATTGCTAAAGTGACTCCCAGCTCTGAAATCTTATGAGTCTTTTGAACTGGATCTCAATGTCTCTTCATCATTATCACCACTGTCATGTTCTGGGCATTGTACTCAACCTTTCCATACATGATCTCATTTTTTCCACACTTCAACCTTCCCGAGTCTATACTTTGATCACCATTTCACAGATTAGGATACTCTATACCAGAGAAGTTACATGACTTGCCCTATGATTCAGCTATAAAGAGGCAGAGCCAGGAATTAGAGCCAAGATCCCTTTCACTCTAAAATCCATGGTGCCTGCCTAGAGGAAGTAAATTTCTCTGTCAATAATGGATTTTTTTTAAAAAAATTCATGTATTAATTTATGACAATCTTCTAGTCAATTTTATCTAAAATCACATACATATTATATGATTGAACCAGGTACAATTTGCTCCTTTAACAATACCAGTTAGCCTATCTGTAAAAGGAGAATACTGTTTGTAGCATAATTTGATGAGAAAAGTTAAATTAGATGAAGTACAAAGTGTGTGGAAACTAGCTGACACATTGTTGGCACTAAACAACTCACAGTTCTTTTCTCCCTTCTTGATTCAACATGGGTAAGTCCTAAGAAAGCAGCCATCCCTTTGATGTTGCTGCACTGAACAATTTCAATTGAGTTTCTGATAATCATTTATTACGATTTGTGAATGAAATGACGTAAGATTGGTAACAAATTCAGTTTGAAATCAAATATGGCCTAGACATAGCTCTCAGATCAACGACAAATAATCTTCTGAAAGATTCTATTTATTCACTGAAAGCCTGAAAGGCACAACTAGTATGTGGGAGGAAGCCAGATATGTCAATAAAAGGAACAACTTTCCAACAATTTAAACTGGTCAAAGAATGAACAAACAGCCTCAGAAGACAGCGAGTCTTCTATCATCTTAAATCACAGGATAGAAGGAGGTCCTTTGTTGGGTGAGGTTGCATCTGACGACCTTTAATAGCGAAGACTCTGTGCTTCAGAGAGCCTGTGAATCTGCTAAGATTTAATGGAAGTTATGGAGGAGTCAAATACCTTAGGTTGCATTTCTTATTTTCTCACTCATTTAGGGGTGTGTGTGTGTGTGTGTGTGTGTGTAACATTAGCACACCAGGCCCTGGCCTAAGCACCAGGGATATAAGATGAATAAGATATATTCCTTCTCCATGATGAGCTGATAATCTAACAAAGGTGTGACACATGTAAAATAGAAAATGCAATACAATTTGACTGATGTTATATTAGAAGACTGTATAAGGTATGGAAAGCACAAGTGGAGGTAATCAGTGCTTTCTCTTTTTGGTTTAATGGCTTATTTTTTGATACTTTGGCCTAATCTTTGTGTTTGAACATTTTAATTCAGTCACTAGATTTCTCTGAACCAGTCCTAGATATCTGCTCTGCAGATTGCAATCAAGGGGGGAAACGCTCCTCACCAATCCCCCAACAGTGGGAAGGAAATTGCCTTCCTACTGTTAACTCTACCTGGAGTTACAATTTGAGATTTAGCAGTGAAGGTAGTGATTGGAGCAATGAGAAAGGGTGAGCTGAATCTGGGATATGAGATAGATGGAGAAGAAAGAACCAAACAATAGGAAATAGTAGAAGCTCACTGGTCTGTGGATATGCTTGGGTTGTTTAGTTTCCTTGAGTAGAATCGAAGCATGCACTGGTTGTGAAATGACATAGCTATGGGGATGCAAAGCATAATTCTTAAATTGTATAACACATTTAGAACAATCTAGAAAGAGCTACCACCACATAACCTGAGAATGTAGCACAAATACTAGTTAGTTCCTATCCACAGCACACCTTTCGTCACCTCTAGGAACTCTGTATCTTTGTAGCCCTGAGATTTATTATAGAGGATTAGTGACATTCCAAATTACTCAAATGTTAGAAATTAGGACCCAGGGGTCCTATTTTTTAAAATATCACATTTATCTAGATGGATACTAGTCTATTTCCCTAATATAAGAAGGAGCCCCTTCCAGGTGTGCTGAGAGAAAATGTTCTAATGTAGCTTCCACTGGGGTTACCAGTCATCATTTGATAGAGATGGTGAACCTTTGGACTTCACACTGTTTTTCATATTCTGCAAAGCATGGGACATAGATTAGATTAATAACTCACACATAGAAGAAATATGATGATTAGGGCTGCATTTTACAAAAGGCATGCTCAAGCAGAATAAAACCATTGGTTTTGTAGTCACCAGATTTTACCAGCAAGCACAATTTTGTGTTAAAATATTTCAGAGATGAATAGGAGGGGAAAATGACAAACACATTTCACTAATAATAATCTATCCGTGAATAGGTAAAGAGATATGAATTAACTGCTTTTAAATGATTATGGAAGGTGCTTAATTAATATCAACTCTTCCAATCTCTTCTTGTAGTGATTAGAGTTAAGAGACAATAAAAGTACATTTAACTAAGTGTGTGACTAGAGGGTAAGTAAGGAGCAAATCCCAGTAGTGTTGATAGGTCATATGTTTCAGTTTCATGTGTGAAGTTGAAAGGTTCTATTTGGTATTCAAACTGACTTAAATTTTTTTGTGTGTTTGCTATTACTTAAGTGATTAGGACAAGTAAGCAAACAAAAAAAGAGTAGAATAAAAATCACCACCAGAGGTCACCATTGCAAACACTATTCCCCATGATTTAAGTCACAAACTAGCTGTAGGGTGAGGTGAGTCCCAGACAATAGAAATCTTTTACCTTATTTTTAAAGTACTCAGAGACTTTGAAGTTAGGAAGCTATCAGTGCTGTCCATTGTGTAGTTGAAGGGATGAAAATATAAGGTTATGTGATATGAAAATGAACAACAGTCCGAATAGAGGCCCAGGTTGTTCCCCTTTCACAGGACTGATGTGACTCCCACATGCAAAGGTTTTCTTTTTGGGAGTCATATAGGTTATACTTCAATGAGGAATATGTCAAAGGGTAGCCATAATGATAAAGGGTATTCTCTTTATGTATCACAAAATAAAGAAAATACCTGTATCTTCAAAGTAATAGCTATATGCTTTATAAATATTTCTGATAGTCATGTTCCCCTAATTGTTGAATATCCTTTTTGGTGAAGTAGAGTCAGTTAACTTTGAGTTTTCTAACTCTTCCCCATTACTATAATGATGCCCTGTGGGTTAGAAGGATTGTAAAGCCTTTAAAAGTTGCCCTTAAAAAGAGTGGGTTTTATATAAGCAAGAGGGGAAAAGAGTGGTTTCTGAAATTCTTGGTCTCAAAATTTTTTCCCCAGCCATTGATAATTGAGGTTGTTTTATTGAAGTAAGCAAGGTCTTTTGACATTGATTTTACTTAAAAACTCCATGATCAAAAATGTGGTTAGAAAAGGGGATTTTGCAGACTGATAATTTTGTTTGTGAATCTATTGACACTCATCCATGATATTATCATCATAACCACCCACATCAGCTATAGTAAGTGCCAGCCCCACACTGGTCACCCTGCCTGGTGGGAAA